CGGGACGGCAGGAGTGCCAGCAGCAGCAGCAGCAAGAGGAGGAGGAGGAGTAGGTAGGATGAGGAGGGAAGCAAGGAAGGAAGGAGGCACTGGGATGGAGGAGGGAAGCACCACCGCGAGACGTGTTGTTGTCTGTGTCTGCGTCTGCGTATCGTTTCCCTTCAGCTCGTCTTCCCTGGCGTGGATTGATGGATTCCTTGCGGCGTCCGTCAGGTACTGCACTCCAACAAGGTACGAATAGGTACGCACCTCAGCAGTATTCCGGGCACTTCACTTCTTCTAATGCGTGGAAGGAAAGGCCGGACGTGGCAGCTTTAGCGGGGTTCATTAACCTTTTTAGAGGAGAGGCATCTCGTCATTGGCAGGAGATGGGCAGCGCCATGGCCCAGATTGGAGACAGCACGCCTTGGCTTTCACTCGTCCTGCGAGCCTTATTCTCGCACAATCACGGACGGCACTGAGACTTGCGAATAAGCTCTCGTCGGCACCGGGCATGCTCGCTCGCAAAACATAACATTTCACCGGATGCCTTGGGCTCCTTTAATTACTTATTACTCCGATTATGGTAATCAAAATCCTCATGTCAATCCGGCTGACAGATGCTGGTCCTGGCCCGGTGGGAAGTCCCGCGGCAACACCACCATCGGACGGACTTGATCATGCCATAACATCGGCCACTTTTTCTCCCTTCTTTTCTTCTTCTGCTTCTTCGCCCGTCCGGCACTCTCCATCCTTTCCCTGTCTACTTTGGGTACGCTCCTGAAGCTACTGGACGGGATTGACACAAAGCCGTCTTCACTCCCAGCTTTAGGAGCAACTGACGTGAGCCGCCCTCCGGCTGAGGCGACAAGCCAGATCGCCTCCCGCTTACAGTAGCAACGCATTGGATGTCTAATAGACCTAGATCGAGCTGGGCGCGATCCGGAGGTTGCAGCTAGCGCTCGCAGCACCGCCAACGCTACTGCCCCCCAAAGTCTCTAGCACACGGCGAGAAAACACCGGCGACAGCGAGAGCGACGGTTGGATGGCAGGCATTGGCTGGTGGTCCTTAGGTACTCCGGGCTCCTCCAGGTCCTAGCCTGTACCTACCTACCTACCTACCTGTAGGTGACCCGTGGACCCTCCGCTGAGCTGCCGTCAACAGGTGGCCAGTGGATTGCTTCCACCGTCTTCTGGTTGGACGACACTGCCGTTCGCCCCCACTGCCCAGCGGGGTTTGGCAACGTCAGAAAAGCCGTGGACCGTGGGTATGACCGCTCACCTGCTGCCGCCGCCAGTGCCAGTGCCAGTGCCAGTGCCAGTGCCAATGCTCAGTCAGTGGAGGGCAATCATTTCCAAGAAGCGGACGAACCCCTCCTCCAACTTGTGCTGTCTTGACGACTCGCATCCTCGCATCCTCGAGTCGAAGACAGCGACGCTGTGCTTCGTCTCACACTCACCAGAGGCACCGAATCGTACCCAAGGTCTGGGCTCATCCGCATCGGTCCCCGTCTCCGGCCGTCTTGCAGAATGCAACCTATCACTAGAACCGCACGCTACTGCACTGTCACCTTACAACACCTCAGGTCGCGAGACGTGGATGATCTCAAAGAAGCAAGGCTCTTATTAATCTATCCTCCTCGTCCAACCTACACTCGCCCTACATGTCTTAGCTTCCTCTGCCTTACAGCCCGCTACGCCTCTCCCAGCCTTGATCTCGTCTCACGCCGTCCTCGAGGCTCGCCTCTGGGTTCCAGTCCTGAGGCACGACACGCCGCCACGCTGCCAACAAGCATGCAACAAGCCTCCAACGAATTTCTGCTGTACAAACAGAGTTCGCACTTGCCCATTGCAGCTGTAGCTGAGCCCTCCGCTGGCCATGGCGGCGCCTTGCGGGCGAGGGCGATTCAGGGTCCAGATGCCTCTCCACGTTTGCATTAACTGACAAAGAACCGGTCCCTGGATAACGACTTGCTGTCTGCGACTAAGGTAACTCAATCCCGTACAAATGCACATGGGCCACTTTACATTCGACTCGGAGTCTCTGGTCGACTGACTGACCGCCCCCTGAGCATCGCGAGATCACGGGGGCCGCCTCGCTTCCTGAGAAGCGGACATCGCGGTTGGCCCTTGAGGGTCTCCCCTGCTCCCATCCAGCGGTGTCCCCCTCCCTTCTAAAAGAAGACGGCCGGACACCGCCAGAAAAAAAACAATTGGATCATCCACCATCAACCCTGCAAGTCGCCCGGGAAGGGTAGGGGACGGTGGGCTCTCTTCTCTCGGTGGGCTCTCTTCTCTCGTTCTGCAGCAATGCCAATGGCTCTTCGCACAATTGCCCCGAAGACAACCCAACAGACACAGACGCCTTTCCTCTTTTCGCTCCATGAGATGATGTGCTTCGGGGCTTGGTGGGAAAACCGTTTCCTGGGTCCCTCCACCCCGCCGCCGCCGTACCCTCCGTCCATCCCGTAATTCCCGCGCGCGAACTGACGAGATGTGCCTTGTTGTGCAACCATTTGGCCTCTCAATCCCTCAAATCGAGCAACTCACATGCCGCGGACCCTCTCTTTTACCTCATGTCGCCATCAACGCTTTTCGGACACTTTGTGGGCCTGGCCCTCTCAACCCCTTCGCATCACTCCTCTGCCTTGCAGTAGCAGCATCGCGTCCAAGGGGGTTAGGCGAGACACAAGCCTGAAGGCACTCGGTTTCAATCGTCCTTTAACTGGCCATTCCGACATCATCGACCGCCAGCCCCCGCCAGATCCATAAGGCTAAAAGCACGATATTGAACCATTGCCGCTGGTGCCATTCCGGTGCCCTCCGACCCCGGAAGTTGTGAGGCAGGGAACAGAGAGAAAAAAAAAAACCCCGCAGATGCCATCTCTTGATTCTCGACCTAGATCGTCATTTTTCACCATTTCCCTGGCGTGATCTGATATCATTGGTGCTCCTATGCGGGGTCTCGTGCCCTGGTCTTGGCCTCAGCACACGCCTAAACCTCGTCTCGGTGCAACCTCCTCGAAGCCCAGCCAGGTCCGATCAGACCAAGCTAGGCCGCCGGTCAACCACCATGCCTTGGGATGCCTTAGCGAGGATTCAAGCATTCGCCGTCGCACCGTCGTTGTGGCCGGCACACACACCACTACGGTAGCCAAGTCGGTTAGCCACGGTTCATGTCTCACGCTGTTGTTCGTTTTTATATCGACTTCAATGGTTGACGTATGGCATTTGGGATATTCTCATTGAATTGTGTTAGAGTTCCTTTCCCTTGACCCATCATAATCCCCTTCCGGATTTTGTTTGCCTCATAACTCCGAGAGACTTGAGAAAAAAGTCATGCCAAAACGTCAAAATGCCCTGATGTCCCCACGCGTGAATGGATTTTTAACCGCTAGATACAACAAGCTTACTCCTCACGGAGCTCGGCGATGCGCTGCTTGACGCGCTCCTCCTTCTCCTGCTTGGTCAGGCGCTGGACCTTGAACTTCTTGGACTCAGCCTTCCACTCCTCCTTGGTCTTCTTGGAGCCCTCGGGCTTCTTCCAGGGGTCGGCGCGGATGGCGGCGTGGGCCTCGGTGTAGAGGTCCTCAAGGCCGTCAGCCTCGACGTCGTCGTCAATGTACTGCTGGAACTGGGACTTGAAGCGCTCCTCGTCGTCGTCGGCGAGGGTCTCCATGTACTCGGCAACGTGGCCACCGAAGATGTAGTTCTTCAGGGTCTCGGCGTCGAGCTCCTTGGTCTCGATGTCGTAACCAGGGAAACGCTTCTCGGAGTGGGGGACGAAGATGCCACCGTCAGAGGCACCCTTCATGGCGCCGAAGACACGGGCACCGGTGGAGGTGCGGTGAAGACCGACGTCAAGGAAGGCCTTGAAGGGGCGGCGCTCACCATCGTCGGTCTCGACCGCCTCGGTGAGGGTGTACTCACCATCGGCCTCCTCGACACCAGTGAAGTCCTTGTCGATGCCGAGCTTGGAGAGGGCACGGCGGGCGATCAGGAGACCGGTGGCGTAGGCGGCAGCCCAGTTGGTAAGACCGTGGGTGATGCCGTAGGCGGGAAGCTCGTGGGCGTAGGCGGCGACGAAGACCTTGTCACCAGAGATCTCGGAGGTGACGATTTGCATGATGATGTCGCGGTTGGTGAAGCGGACCACAAGACGGTACTTGGGGGCACCGTACTTGTTCTTGGCCTGGGTGATCAGACGCTTACGGGCATAGTAGTCGGTCTTGCCCTGCTGTCTGCGCTTGTACTTGGTCTGGAAGCGGCTGTTGCGAGGTTCGGGTCAGTACATTGTGCGCACAATTTGTCGCGAATGCCAATTGAGAACTAACCTGTAGTACGCGCTGTTCTTCACCAACTTGTGGAAGGCCTGTCACGATTGAAAATCCCGAGTCAGCAATTTGCGCTTCAGATTTGGCCCTCGATCCGAAGCATCTTGCTTTGACTCCTTTCCCCAAGAGACATTTCTGCCTGCAGCTAGGGCCATGCCAAATTCATTTGATTTTCATCAAAATACATTGTGGCAAAGTGTAGTCGTAGTCGTCTTCGCTTCGATATCGAAGAAATGGTGTGAGTTGTCTCAACTTACCATCTTGACGGTATTGGCTGGCGGGCGGTTGGCTCAGCTAATTGTCGATTTTTGGTGTTGTCGTGGGTTGTCGATCGAAGGGAAACTTTCTAGACCTTCCTTCCGTGATAAATTTGTGTGGGCGATTTTTGGCAGCCCTAGCCAGTGCCCCACTACCAATCGCGCCTGCCGGTCGTCTGCGAAGCTGGTCGGGGACGAGTCACGGGACCGGCGGACTTTGGTCAGTCACGAGTCACGTGGAGAGACCCGCTAGCAGGGAGTCCGTAGTGGATTGTCAATTTGGTGCTACTGCCGAGGTCCACGGGAATTGTCACCGAGGTGGGGGTCGAGCTTCCCCCAGGTTTCGGCCCCGATCAACCGTCTCCGCCTCCAGAGCGACGCGCTGAGTCGTGGTACAAGTAGATAGTGCACATCTCGCTTTCTCAATAACATGGAGTCCTTCGAGGGATCAGGCACCTTCTTTGTTGATCATGTGCTTGAAGCCGTAGACAGCATGACTGGATCCAAGCAGCCCAAGGTCCTCCTCTTCGACATTGGCGGGGTGTGTGTAAGTGACCCTCTCATCTCTTCAGTCGTCGCACTCATCGGCGGTCTTGGAATTGCGACTGCATGGCGATGAGGTCAATTGGTTTACCTGACACTCACTAGGTGGTCTCGCCCTTCCAATCCATTCTCGACTACGAGCTCAGTCTCGGCATCCCGCCAGGATGGGTCAACTACTCCATCTCCAAGACGAGCCCGACCGGTTTCTGGCACCGTCTGGAAACGGGCTCAATCCCTATGGATAAGGCCTTCTTTGAAGGTTTCACCAAAGATCTTCACGATCAAGGTCGTTGGGTGGCATTTTACACTGCACAGCAAGTCAAGAACCCATCATTATCAAAGGAGGTCCCGACTGTGCCAGACATTGATGGAGAGTATTTATTCAACACCATGATGACCAACTCGATCCCCCCGGATCCATGGATGTACCCAGCGTTGAAGAATCTGAAAGCCAGCGGTAAATACATTCTTGCCGCTCTAAGCAACACCGTCGTCTTCCCGGAAGGGCACAAATTATGGACGAAGGACTTTCTCGATCACCCTGTCCGCAGTCTCTTTGACGTCTTCATTTCGTCAGCGCATGTCGGCCTTCGAAAACCTGACCCGAGGATATATCAACTTGCTGTGAAGACTGTCAATGAGTATGCGATCAAGAACGCAGACTCCGAGAGAGGCCGGGCCTTGGGCTGGGCCGATGGGGTCAAGCCAGACGATATTCTCTTCCTCGATGACATAGGCGAGAACCTCAAGGAGGCTAAGAAGCAGGGGTTTGGAACCATCAAGGTCCACCTTGGCAGGACATATGAGGCTGTTGAAGAGCTTGAGAAGGCTACGGGTCTGGCGTTAGAAGGAGATCACCCAAAGGTCCCTGTTAAACCAAACCTGAAAGGAAGCGGCAAGGCTAAGTTGTAAACATGTATTACATTACATCTCCATGTTTCGCATTAGACTAACAGAGCCTTACGACCTACATATTCCGGGCTACATAGACATACAGGGCATCGACGTTCTCAATTTTGCCATCGACAGCATCCTTTTCCCATTCTTCCCGAAACAGTGCTCTGGCTTTGTTCTTGAATTCGTCCCTCGCCATATTGATTGTCAACGGCGTGCTGATAATCCCGTCAAATTGCTCGTCAATTTGGTCCATGCCGTAGAACGTGCTACCCTGACCAGTTAGTTTGTCCATCAACTCGATCTTTTCCACCGTATAGCCGGCCTTCTCCAGGATCTTCTTGAATGAGTTCCTATCCTTTATCCACGTCCTGTTACTAGGGAATCTGGTTCCCAGTCTATTCGCCGCGCGCTCTAGCAAAAGCCCGATCTTGAGGTTGTTCTCGTGGGTGATGTCAACCTGCACCCGCCCACCAGGCTTCAGGTATTTCCTCCACGAAGCGACAACCTGCTCTTGATTGTCGAGCAGAACAAATGCGTTGGAGCACATGATGACGTCGAACTTCTTGTCCTTGAGTTCTATCAACCCGTCCAGGTCCGTTATGTCGTGGTTGAACAAGTGTATGTCCGCTTTTGGCTTGAGACGCTCTTTCTTCTCTTTTGCCTTGGCCAACATTGCGTCTGTGATATCAACGCCGACAATCTCGCCCTCTTCTCCCACTTGCTCCGCAGCAATGAATATTTCAAGCCCGGTACCGCAAGCCAGTATCAGAACTCGCTCGCCCGGCTGGACGTCGGCGAGCGCCATGAAGCGCTTGGTGTAGTCGGGATGAAATGAGTTTTCATAGTTGTCGGCCCGCGCAGTGTACATGCGCTTTGAAGAAGCGGCCTGTGTTTCGGATCCGAAGTCCATGCTGTGCGATAACACAAGGCATAAGTTTTCCTTGAATATTGTGGATTCCAAGTCGATGGCCAGTCCGAGAGTCGACTGTTTTGTAAATTCTCGAAACTGTTGAGCCGGTGCGGAGCAGTGATGTCAGTGGCCACTAGATCGATTTTATCTCCTTAAAGTCCGGATTACTGTTCAAACGCGCCTTACACCGGCGCACGATCTAACGATCTGCACACTTGCATCTGTGTGTACGCGTTCTTACTTCACCAGTTTACTCTCTCTCACCGGATGTGACATAAGTCAATCGGTACTCGGCCGGGATTTCCATCGCCTAGATTTTATCGATTTGGAGAAGAAGTTCATAGCCTGACATGAATGGTCGCACTGATCTGGCTGGGTCGCATCATTGATTGTATGAGTGTCAGTAATGAGTGCTGCTGCTTTTCAGTGTTGACTATTCGCGAGAACATTGAGCTAAGCAAGAAGAAATAGGGCCATTGAAACGCACGACAACATCGTCTACTGAAGGTTGAGGGATATCGGAGCACGCGAAAAGCACAATTATTACAATGCAAGACTTTGATTTGCCCACTTGAGTCTGCGCCATCCGTATCGATGCTCGCCACTTATCCGACACCAACGCTACCCAAGTTCGCATCACGCCAACAAGGCATTCCTGTTCTCTCTCGTGAAATTTGTGATCGACTCTTTCTTTCCAGATATGGATTGAGTTTCTGCGAAGGTTGACTGCTTTTTTATAGCTCAAGACCATTCATAATCTCGAGCGGATCGCTATCTGTCTATTAAAGGAGATGACATGATCAATCACCATTGCTGGCGGGAAGGCGCTACTTTTGGAAAACGATTTTCCATTTCTACTTGTCGGCAGCAGACTTTTGAGGGCGTAGAGTTTGAGTTATGGCGATGAATGAGTCCACAGCACAGCCTGGGCGGTGGCCGTTTCGTTGACCGGCTGGCAGACAGTACCAGAACCACATCCATGGATGTGCCAAGTCCAGCGCACACCTTCTCATTCGCTCCGCAACCGCCGACGACAAGTCTTCCGCACGCCATCACCCGCAAGACTTTTTCCACTTTCCTCCGTGGTTCTTCGCTTCATGCTTGCTGATATATACTGCTGCGCCATTTTCAGACCCGAGAGACTGGATCCGAGGGTTTCATCGTCGGCGTTGAGTCCTCTTTTCGGTGTTCATGCCGTCAACGGCCAACATGGCGAACAGGCCTGAACGTCCAACGACGTTAGCTGGGTCATTATCACCAGCACTTCAGTTCTTTCTCGGAATACATTCACACAGAAGTAAACGCTGTAAATCGAGGTCTCGCAGCATGTGCGGCGATGGACTTCTCGAACCTCGAAGTACCGTCACGGTATGAAGTCCGCTGTTCCGGCGAGTATTACTCACTACTTGAGCGATGAGAACAGATCAGACGACACCTAAGACTGTAGGAACAGGACGACGTAGATCACGACAGATACGGTTAAAAGGACCAGTTAATACATAAGTTGTTGGACATGAGAGTACGGAAGTATTGTCCAGGATTCCACCCAGTTGGCTGTCAATTTGCAGCGCACGACTTCTGCCATGACCTCTGCCATGTTGGAGTGTGGCGTGGCTATGGCCCAGGCCTGTAAGCCTTACCGAGGCCTCCTCAGAGGCTTTCCCGTCACTCAAACTCCTATAAATGACCTAGAATGCCTGATATTGGCCATGATAGCAATGCTGCGACATCAAGGAGCCTGCGACAAGAGCTAGTTCTCAACATCAAGCCTTGAATATTATTTGCAATGGAGGCCCTCATTCAGACATCATGGGTGAGGAATACCAACGAGCTCTATCGCTGTCTCGACACCCAATTCAATGCTTGTACCACCTGTCGAGGGTATTCAAAGAACAAGCCGACTTGTGGTAACCCAATAAGCAAAGTCTCCCGCTCTCAGATTACATCCGTCCTGCTCAATATCGTCGAAAGCGGAAGCATAACCTGCGCGATCAATCATTTAGAGACTCTCGCTTCTCTTGTTCTCTGCAGAAGATATCACCAGAACCAGATTGCCGAGAAAGTGACACAATGGAGAAGCCGTCTGGTCTCGTTCCTGACCCACGGTGCTGCGGTAACTCAAGAAGCGGATACTAGAAATCACCCGAAATCGACTAAAGCTTCAACTCAACTCAGCGGAACTCGAGTCAACATTTTCAAAACACCAGCTGCAGTTCAGCCATCAACGTTTTCTCATGCCGAAGCGAAACCAGGAATGTCGTTGATGAATACCGTGGTTAAAGAAGAACAACACGAACAACACGTCAAGACTGAAGATGTGCCTCTCGCTTTGGACCCGCTTGAAGACACAGTCAAGTGCAATGACACCATACACACCTTCGAGCCCTACTATCAACCCAAACATCTCAGTATGATCAATAAGGACATTGCCAATAAGCTCAACACGCCTTTCATGAAGAGAGAAAAAGAGGGCTTCGCCAAAGGCGAAGGATACATCTATGGCTATCAACTGCCTCAAGATCATAAAACGACAAGCCTTAAGGCCTGCCAGGTGGTTAAGATTGGCTATACGAACGATTACAAAAGACGTATGAAAGAGTGGCAGGAACAGTGCCATTACGAGCCACAGCTTGTCTTCGCATATAAAGTCACGCATCACGTCAAGATGGAAAAGATCATCCACCTACTTCTGCGCAATTATCAGAGAAAAGAGAAATGCCCGGGTTGTCCTGCGCAGCACCACGAATTCTTCGAAGTCGACGCGTCAACAGCTGAGGCAGTAGTGAGGATGTGGGCGGTATGGGCTCGACTTCGACCATTTGATGACGGAGGCAGTCTGTCGTCATATTGGTCTCAAAAGATCAAAGAAATGAACACGGAGGACCCTGATTGCTGGGAAAAGCTGATCTTTGACAAGGTCAAGTAGATCTGTGTACGGCCTTCAATGATGACTTTGGCGCATCGAATTTTCTTTTTCGTCATGAAAGTTTTGAGGAGTGCGGCCTTTGTATTCCTTATCATTTTAAGCTTTAGCTGAAACGCTTTAAAGGTTCGTTCTCGAATACCAATGGAACTCTCGAATACCAATGAAATTCACAATGTATTACTACGACTCTCAATCATGTTCTCAGAGACCATTCCTTTTACCCCTTGTTGTCAAGCACATATACCATGTCTTATTAAGGCAGACTTCTACAATATGTTGTGAACTAAGCACAAATTGATATTCGAACAAAATTCTAAGGAAAACACCCGCCTCGCTTTGTAGACTTTACAGCTGAAATATCGTCGTGAAATCTGTCATCATTTCCAAAACACTCTTTCCCTTCTCTTTAGTAACGTCGACTGGGAAGCTCAACAGGAGGCGCAGGCGCACTTGGCATTTCAACGGGAGCGGTCGGGTTCCTCCATGCCTCTGAGCCGTACACTTCCGCTGGCCCCCATCCGGCGTAGGTCTTGTTATTATCCGCGGTGTACTGCAAATTTTGATCAACTTGAGTAGCTTCGCTTTGATCATAGGTGGGAGGTTTCTGAGATGATTTTCTCCACGAAAAGAAGCGACTGCTCCTCCCTTCGTTGTTCTCCTTCCTGTTGCGACGGAGAAGGTAGACGGCCGTGACGACAGTAACGCACACTATGGCAATGCCGCCGATGACACCGCCGATAATGATGCCTGTGGTATTGGGTGTACTGGAAGAATCTCCATCACTGTTATCTCGTCCTGCTGGAGTGGCTGTCTCGCTGGCTGCAGCATTAGATTCCGTGGATGATTGTAGCGCACCCGTAGCCGTCGCTCCTGTCGAGGTTGATGACGTCGAGGCTTGCGAGGATTTCGCATCTGTTGATATGCTTGTGGTTTCGGTTTCAGAGGCTGTCGATGAATCGGGAGTTATAGTACCGCTGGGAACTGCCGCAACTGTTGGGGATTGGAAGAGGGTTTCTACGACAGCTTGAGCGCCGCACGCAATGTAGGAAAAGCCGCCTTCATAATCTCCCTTGAGAATGACAGTTGAGCAGTACTGATTTGTGCTTGAACTGATGATAATTAGGCTGTGCTTATCATACTTAGTCAGAGCTACTCACCAAGTAAACGTGGTGAGACCCTCGATGCCGGTCTTTCCACAGCCGTTTGTACACGCATGTTTATCTTCGCAAGCTCCCGCCAGCCCACAATCTTTTGGAGATATCACTGTAGTGGGACAAAATCCCCAGAGACCGTTGTTGATATCAAGGCGGCAGCCGTATCCGCCGTCAGCAGTCCGGAACTTTGTCGGGTCGCCGTCATAGTACCCGCAGGTTTTAGATCCGATGGAAGTGACCTGTCGCCGCCGGAGCTCTTCATCTGTACCTCGTGTGCTGTTCTTGGCTGGAGGTTGCGTAGGCTTTGGCGGCTGAACAGCGGCGTACTTGAGGTTAATGGCCCGCGGAGATGCCGCGATGGTGAATTGCCGTTCGAGGGCGAAGAGGAGGAGAAACAGGATGTTTACCCGAAGCATCCCGAAGTGGAGGGTCTTTGAACGCCGAAGAAGAGATAGACCAGACTTCTCGGGAGGATCTGCGTGTTTGTCGATTCCGCAAGTGTGCAAACAACTTGATAAACAGGGGCTTGGTATTCTCGATGGTCGTGTATTTTAGACATAGTGATGAAAAACCGGTTTCGAATATTAGTAATTATGGACTGGACGATCAAATCCAAAGCACTCTCAGTGAAACGAGAGATATCGTGAAGTCGTACAATGACAAGCGACGAGGGAAAGATGGACTCGGAACACGAGGAGACTCGGACGAGGACGGGTGGAATACGCAACTAAGTATGTAGCATCCCGTCAACCCGATCACCCAGACCTCTGGGCGAGAGGTCACATAACAGGAGGAGTCGGCCAACCTCGGAGGCCCGACGGCCAGCCGTGACAAAGGGCCTGACTTTGCTGCCTCTCAAGTTATCGCCATCTGCCTGTTTTCGTTTGCCTGCGACCCGACAGAGTGGTTGACCCCGGGTAGCTCATTTCCCTCGACGAATCATACTCAAAGCAGTCGAGTCTTGAGCGCCTCTAGCTGCGACATCCATGCAGCAAGAGGGGGCAAATTTCAGGGCACGTCGCAGCCTGCTCACAGCGTAGAGAGGAAAGGCGTTGGCATCGGGCAAAACCTGTGAGGCTGGAGGTAAACCAACAAGTTAAGCAAAGGGAACCAACACCAAAAGAAGATAATGCTGGTAGGAGAGTGGATGCACCAAGGCCTTGATTGCGGACCCAGAGGGATCATGGCCCAACCACGGCCGCCATTTTGATCGCGCGGTAAACGCCCTGAGCCTGCACCAACAAAAGACAACCGGGGCGGGATGTGAGCCTTTCTCGGGACCCCGGTCAACTCGACGGACAACGGCACCAACAGTTGTGTCTGAGTGGTCGGCGATGTCTTGGACGAACAGGGGCCTTTCGCTTCCAACATCCACCTGAGCTGTTGTTGGACCCCTCGAGAAATGGCCCCCGGCCTTCTTGTCCCCAGATGGGGGAGACGCGCTCTTCTCTCTCGGCCATATGTAATTTAATCGAACTTAACCTCTCTTCCCCCTTCTACTTCGCAGCTCATCATTGTCGCCTTTCACGGTGCGTGATGGTAGTTTGCGGCCCTTCATAACTGCCATGGCGAGACGGAAGCTCGTCCTCTTTGCGCAGGCCTGCTCCGTCGGCTTGCTGCTATTCAGCCTGTTGGTCGCATATGATCTCTTTTCCGGTCGCGAGTACTTCGACGTCGCGTACAAACCGTTCCGTGAGTACCAACTTTCTTTCGGGCGCTCATGATATCTGATTAGAGCCTGGAATCATTGTTACTTACAATTGAACCAGGGAAGCCTCAACCCGCCGAGCAAACGCACGGAGCGTCTCCACACCACGGAGACGATGGATCAAAACCCACGGTAGCATCGCCGGCCCACGTCCCGACGCACACGCCGGCGCCCACGGAAACGCCGATACAAGTGCCGACACCATCGCCGACTGCTGACGCCGTCAGCCCATCATTGCCGGACGGCAACCCGGATCACATCAAGAGCGCTCCCAAATACATCAATGCCATCCTCGACCCCGAGGACAAGAACTTTCCCAGGCTAGACTGCCCCCGGCCCAACATCGACCGCTATGAGTACCTCAAGCCCGCCTCGAAGCTGAAGAAGCCAAAATTCTTCCTTGCTCTCAATATCCGTCATAAGGCCGATCTGCTGCCGCGGCTCATGGGCTCCATCGTCGAAGCCCTTCGTTTCTTCGGTCCTGAGAACTGCGTTCTCTCGGTGGTGGAGGGAAACTCCAACGACGGCACGTACGAGATTCTCAAAGAAATCACCAGCGAGATCGAGAAGCTCGGCACCGAGTATCACTTCGCCCGCAGCGACCTCGATCCGGGCGCAGGCGACCGCATTAGAAAGCTTGCGGAGCTGCGAAACATGGCCATCGCGCCGCTGGTAAACAACCCGCTCAAATACGCCTCGGACACGACGGTTCTCTTCCTCAACGACGTCTCCATCTGTCTCGAGGACATCCTCGAGCTCGCCCACCAGCGGCTCTATCTCGGCGCCGACATGACCTGCGGTTTTGACTGGACGTACGTGGGCGCAGACCCGACCTTCTACGACGTCTGGATCAGCCGCACCATTGCCGGCGATTCCTTCTTTGAGATCCCGCCCGATGGCAACTGGAACTCGGCCTGGAACATCTTTTGGAACGAGGCGACGTCGAAGCGACGGTTCTTTGACCACAAGCCCATCCAAGTCTTTTCCTGCTGGAACGGCGCAGTGGCCATGACGGCGCGGCCCCTGCTGGACCAGCTCATCAGGTTCCGGGCGCCAGGCCAGGGGGAGTGCTTCCAGGGAGAGCCCCAGCTGTTTTGCAAGGACATGTGGAATATCGGGTTCGGGAAGATTGCGGTCGTCCCAAGCGTCAACTTGGAATACAGTGACGACGCAGGCAGGAAGATCAAGGCGGCCAAGGGCTACACCAGCCAGTGGGTTGGGGACGAAGACAAGAAGGAAGATTTCAAGCTGGATTGGAAAGCTGATCCTCCCGAGAAGGTGAAGTGCATGGGTAGTTATGACAAATAAACTTGGGAGCCCTGGAACCAGGGGCTGGAATAATGAAATGTTTTGTTAAGAATGAACCGTGTCTCAAAATCGAGTGTCCAAATTACTCAACTATGTACTGTGTTTTGGGCACATCCCCCATAAAAAGCATGTTATCTCAGTCGTAACAATTTCTGTGGCAACCAGTCACTCTGGCATAATGCGCAGTTTATAAGACAACATGAGTGTCCGCAATGAGCAGAGACTCGTAAAAGGCTTCGCTCATCGACGTATCTTCTCCGTTCCACAATCGATTCAGATGAAACCTGAATCACATGGCTGTCCTTAATTAGCACATGACCAGTTTTCTAGCAAGTTGAAGCTCTAGAATTACTCAAAACGGCTGCGTTGGGGTGTTCGTGGACGCATGGGCGTCAAAAACATCAGGTGTACTGGTTTCTCCCATAACCAACAGGGTAGCTATGCTGATCATGACCAGACTTAGATCTCTTGGCCGTGAAACGCGGCTCCAATTCTTCTTTCTTCAAGGTGGCGGCAAATCCATGGTATGTTTTGTTATGCGCCGAAAGCTCATCGGGCTTCTCGCACCCTCGCGTCAAGTCGGTCTTCCCCAGCCAATCTTACCGCTCAACCAACACGTTTGGCAGCCGGGCAGCGGGCCCGGAACGGCGAAAGAAGAGCCTCCAGAGCCAACGGTTGGTACTACAACCTATGGACTGACTACACGAGCGGGCGTGAAAGTGCTTCGGAAGACACGTCACTAATGGTCCCAGAGCCTGGCCACATCCCACAAAGCCCAAACCAGAAACCCTCAGTCCACGTTGAGAAAGTTTCGAGCCCACTCAGTAGGGAAAACCCTCAGTCCATACAGAGGAAGAAGAGGCTGCCTCGGATGTCTGGTGAGCCACACAGTATGTACGACTGAGTTAGACTATCAAATTTCAAAAGCCACAGCGGTTAGAGATGCAAGCCCCAGGGCGGCACAGTTGCTTAGGCGAGGCCATACGTGATAACATCCTGGGCCCCAATCCTAACCCCTTGTCATGGCCCCGTCAATCAGAGCCATCAGTTGGACAAACATCCGATGCCAGACTTGGACAGTGCTTCACCGCATCAAGCGAAGATGCTCGCGTAGACGCACGGCATTATGTCCAATTCTCAGTGAACTCACAACTTCCATAGTAGTAGAACATGTTGTAAAAACGATTCAAGATATTTTGTGCTAAACCCCAATCAACAATACCTAGCTACGCTATGAGTAGTCGTATTTCGCTATTTCATGATCATTCGCTTCCAGGAACAACGCAAAGGGCCCCCGGGCTGCCTAGGTGACCTTGCTGCGAAATCCTCTGTCCCCCTCTCTCGTGCTAGATTGATACTTATGTTCCATGCAACTTCTGATTTAGACCTAGCAGTAACTGCTTCACCGAGTTAATTAGGTGTGATTCGATCCCATCCAAGCCTGCAGCCGGCGAGCCAGACGCTGTAGCTTCCGCGGTTGGGGGCACGATACTTGCATCGGCTAGGCCGAGCACTCGGTCAATAGCGGACAGGGTGACTGCCTCAGCCTTGGCTTCTCCTATTCTAACCTTGAGGGCGTTGGACGAGACATTCTTAAACCCAAGCAAGGACTGGAAGACTTTGGGCTCGAAGACGCTGTTGGACCCACTTGGCTGTGGTGTGCCACCAGAGCCAGGCGTGCTGCTGCCTGGAGCTAAGAAGCCGTCGACAATTTTTTGCATGCCCTTCATGCAAATGTCCTCCATGGCTTGATTCTCTGTGGCAGCACTCTTGAGCCCCAGGACCCGATTGAGGGCAGACATGACGATTGTTTCGGCCTTCGGATTCTTCGCTTTCTTCAAATTGTCAATCAAACCGTTTTTGAGGCCATTGACTGCAGACAATAGGCGAGGTTGGATGACTGCACGAGGTTCGGCTGGTGCTGGTGGCGTTGGTGTGGGTCGGGTTTGCTGCGGTGTAGCAGCGGGTATCGGTGGTGGGTGAGCTCCAGGGGGGACGGCCGGAGCAGGCTGTGTGACTGGCGGTGCTGATGGTGTGGTGCCGTTTTCTGCTTTGACAGCAGTATGTGTCGGAGGAGGTCGCGAAGCATATGGTGAGCTGTAAGTCGGTTGCTTACCGGCGACGCCCTGAGGCCGGGCAATCGCGGCGGCAGCTCCATAACCGGGAAGCGTTGCAGGCGCAACAGGTTGAGATGCCGGGGGTTGCGCTGGTTGGCCAGGGGCTGGAGTCGTTGCTGGAGGCGAGTATTGAGGTGTCCGCGCAGCAGAAGCGGCAGCAGCAGCAGCAGCTTGAGCTTGTTGACCCGCATATGCCTGCGTATGGTAAGCATGAGGAAGATGTTGATACGCTGGGGGCATATGCGCCTGTTGCTGCTGCGGTTGAGGTTGTGGTTGCTGCGGTTGCGGCTGCTGAGGCTGCTGCTGCTGCTGATATTGCTGTTGCTGCTGCTGGGCGTATTGAGCGTACGTTGGGTGGTGGTTGTAATGACCATAACCGGCACTCATCGAGCGATCCGGCGATGAGGCCTTTCGCTTCTTGCCGGCATCAAGCTCCACACCAGGCACACGCGACCAGAGTCCGGTGGTGTCGTCCTTTTTGAATGCCTCGTTCCCGATGAGATTGTGCCGTACACTGGATTCCCAACCTTTTGTCTCTGTGTGGAAGTAGAACCAGGGGTATCTTTGCGTGATTCGCTTATAGATCTGCTTCAGTGTAAGACCGTCGGGTCCCGCCGCAGTCAGAGTTTCGTCAATGAGAACTCCGTAGTTTTTGTTGGGCTTCTGAAGCTGTTCCTCTGTGTAGTCTTCAATCTTGAGTTCCAAGGGAGGCGACTTCGGCCGGACCTTCTTCTCCTTCTTCTCTTTGGCCCGTCGCTCTGCGTCTGATCCCTCTGCGCCGTCTTCTCCCTTCGGCTTCCGGGGCTTGTATTTGCGCTTCTCTGGTCGGTGTCCCCCTTCTTCAGGGAGCGGATGCTTTCTTGGACGTCCGACCTTCCTCTTGATTGGAGGCTCGCCGGGAGGTGGTTGTGGTAGCGTCTTCTTGGCCATCTCTTGCTGTTGCTTCTTAAGCAACCGCTGCTCGCGCTTGGACATGAAACCGTTCTTTGGCGGTCTGCCAGGGCCCCTTTTCTTTGGAATAAGCAGTGGTAATGGCTGCTGTAATGAGTGGCCCAATTCGGGCTCCTCTGCCTTAACTTCTGTGCTAGGCTCAGCATCTTCCACTTCCTCCTCTTCCTCGTCAGCCTGAGCATCTGCTTCTGCGAGGGGTTCGTCTTCGGCCTCGGCCTCGGCTTCTGCATCTGCATCTGCTTCGGCTTCTGCATCGGCTTCAGCTTCTGCATCGACGTCCGCATCCTCTGCCTCGGCGTCGGCATCTGATTCTTCATCTTCGGACGGCGCTGGGGGACTGAGCGACGAGTCGCTAGAGTCATTCAGCTCGCCATTTCCATGTGAGGCTTCAAACTCGAAGCTCATCTCTTTGCCACCTTGGGCTCTGCCGCTCTTCTTCAGATTGTCCTTATCCTCTGCGAAGTCTTCCGCGCCAGTGCGGCCTTCAGGGACACCATTGATGACGAAGCGAAAGTCGACATCCTTGATCTGCAAGTGGGCGCCGCTCCGAAGCACGACTACTCCGTCTTTGTGGTGAACATCTTCGCAAAAGAAGCCATTCTTGTGTAATGGAATAGCCTCAAACACGCACTCAGCACGATTGAACTGGATCTTGAGATGTTCTCTTGAGATGGCCTTGGTCTTGGTCGCGATGTCGGGTCCGGGTGAATGGATGCCGACCAGCGGAACGTGGTGAGGAGAGGGCCGCAGAGATGCGAGGTCGACAGCAGCGGCGCCCGGTGTATGCGATACGTACTGTCTGTTGGATATGAGGTTCTCCTGTGCTTCTTCCTCTTCGGGTCTTTGCGACGATCCAGTACTAGTGGTCTTACGTCGCTTCGCTGGCCGTCCGGATTCCTCACTGTCGGACTCGGGTCCCAACATGCCTCCTTCTTCACTGACGTACGATTTGCTGAACTTGATGCGGTCATTCCTGACGGGAGAGGGGGGCGGCAGTCCCAGAGCCTCGTACTCCTCAACTCTTCTCCGATGTTCGGCATTGCGCTTCTCGTCCCGTCGCGCCTGGATCATGGCCTTCTGATCACGGCCGATGATGACGGCGTAAGTGGTCATCTGGAAGACACTGTCGGCGAATTCTATTCGCGCAAAGGACTCCAGGCCTTGTGTGGCGGCCGCGAGGTTCTGAGTGCTTGCGACGAGCGGGTCGTTGCCATTGCTCATGGTCGGGAGCGTGACCTGGGCTGGCGTGACAGTCGGAGGTGGCGACATCTGGTTGGGTATCTGGTTGTTTGCCATATGCGCGAGAGCCATCATCATGTAGGCGTGGTCCATGTTGGGCATTGGGGTATGGGGGAAGGAGGAGTTGAAGGGATCGGCATCCATCGGGGCGGCTGGAGCGGGCTGCGATGCTGCGGGGAGGGCGGTCGTGATCGCGGTGGTCGCGGCGTCGGCATCGGTCATGACGGTATCGACGGCGACGGGAGTGGTGTGACGGTTGGTAGACGTGTCGTTCTTGGTGTTCCCAGCGGTGGTGGATGCATCGGCGCGCGGCTGGTCGGGCTGGGTCGCGTTGTTGTCGTCGGAATTGTGTCGAGCGGAGGCTGGCGACGTCTTGTTCTTTGGGGGCGGCGTGGTCGGCACGGGCGCCTGGCCGTTCTGGCCGGCGTTGGACGAAGTCATCGCTGCTCTGCAAGCGGACAGACCAGCTCCTTCGTCTTCGGCAAGCCTCTGAAGGCGATTTGGTCTGTTGCGACAAGGTTGGACCTGAGGAGACTGCGGACAATGCGAGATCCCAAAAAAATCGGGCTGCGAGACTCCTTCCTGCCGATTGACAGGGTCGGTGGAGAAAGGGTACCTTTTTGATTGGCTGACTTCGGTGAATCTCCTGGCCTATTGGTCAACCCCGCGCTGGGAAAGCACGGGCCCACGCTCATTCCCTTGAAAGAGACAAGGCCAGACGCCAGTCACCGGTGCAGTCCCCCGTCGCTGCCTGCCTTCTCAGGACCAAACAATGACCGGAGGAAAGCGCAAAGGTGCTTGCGACTTCCCAAACGAAGCCATCCTCCCGAGGCAATTACCTAAAAACGATTGGGCAGTTCACTTTGGGACGATACAGGAAGGAACCTATCCATGGCCCAAATTGTTCATCTTTCCTGGCCCTTTCTTATTATTGAAGCTTGGCTGAGTCATCTTTTCAATGTTGCGGTGAAGGGACTGAATCTCACGATGCAATTCGGTCAAGGTCCGAATTGCCTCTCAGTACCTATCAGCAATGTCCACGCTCCCAAGAGACTGCTCACAGACAGACCTCGTGGCCATCACCCTGCGTAGATCCAACGTCGGTTTCCACTTCCCGGTCAGCGTCCAATGATAATCTACCCAACCGGCGAATACTTCCTCACCTTTGTGGACTCCCTGCTCTGGGTACTACATATGCAAACCGCTGCTTTGAGCAACAAATCTGCAGGCAAACATTCTTTGGGTATGGTATCTTGGTACTCTATGTGATGCATTTTGGATGGCTTTTTTTTCTTGAAGTGCATCAGTCTTGGTCTCTGCATGAGCCCGAAACCTGCGGCTTTCAGTACTCTCTCGTCCTCAGAAGTTTTGCTACCAGTGGAGGCAGTGATGGACATATCCATGGTTTGGTTATCAACCTGAATAGTAGCTTATCGCTGTTTAGAAGGTTTCCCAACAAGGTCCATTTTGAATCAAGTCTAGTGAATCTCAACAACCTGGAAGCGTGTGGCTGAAGTTAAATCCACGTTGGCAAGTTCGAGGATACCAGAAAACATGCCAAACCCGCAGTTGAGACGCACTTGCAAATGAGATGAACCGGATGGATTGATGGATGGCCCCTCTCCAGTCTCTGGTCAGGGATTCTTGCAATGATTCTAGGTCATAAATACATATACTTTGGTTTTCCAGGAACCAATACTCTAACCCGTCGAAGCAAAACGTACCAATATGGCCGTCTTAACGCAGAAGCGGCTCTCGCTCCCCGAAAATGGGTCGCTTAGACTGCCACCAGCGCGCAGTTCTCTCCGAAGCCCTGTAGGCCCAGAAACACAACATACCCGCGATGAATCCAATAGCATCATTCCTGAAGGCAAGAAGTCCTGCAGTGGTCATCAGCATGACGGTCCATCTTTCAGCCCTCTCATCGTCAGACAGCGAGCGGTGTTGTCTTAGAAGACCACCGTCGTTGTTGCCTGCAGAACTCTCCCACAGGTCAGAGGCACCGTGGTTCAAGCTATGGCCGACCTTGGCAAGCTCGAGACCGGCGGCGATGACCATGACACCAAGCAAGCTCTTGGGGTAATGCGACAGCAAGTCGAGAAGAGTTCCGCCAAAGACGACGCCTAAGATAATCTTGAACAGGCCCAGGATGATGACGCTGGCACCGCTGCGCGCGCCGAATCGGTACTGAGCGGCCAGGCCTCCGGCGCCGTGGCAGACTGGCATAGCACCAAACCAAGTACCCACCAAGTTCATGATTCCAACGCTGATGCCCATGCCGGTGACAGTCGGGGTAGGCATATCAGGGAGCAAGTCGGCAGCGAGGGCGCTGACAGCAATGACAGAGTTGAGTGTAGTAAGAGGCAGCTGGCCGATGGCCATCGTGATGGGCTTATACTTGAACCAGCTGAGGTTCCAGTGCAGCAACTGCGGAACCCAGACGTGGAACCACGGCAGGTTGTGCGGCTCGTGATGATCGGCGTTCAGGATGGAAATGAACGCAAAGACAAGCGACAAGAGGAAGATGTATAAGGCGTAGGGGAAGCGGGGAAGTCCCTGCGTGAAGATGAGCACCAAGAAAGCAGCCAGGGCCCAGAGCCTATTGTCCAGAACGGGATGAGTCCAGTGCAAGTCTCGAAGCAAGCCTGAACCGGCGGCCATTACGAGAGAGAGGCCAGCACCAAGCTGAATACCCTTGACAACCGGGACGGGAACATTTCGTGTAACCCAGCGAAGAAGACCAGTGAGACTCATGATCAAAACCGCCAGACTGACCCACTGACCAGCAGCCATGACGGTTCTGATGCCGCTGTCTTCGCTTCTAGAAATCGCAGCAGCTGCAATGGCCTGGGACATTAAGTTAGTTGTCGACGTTGAATCAGTTACGGGGTGTCAGACCTTCATCGGTTGTACAGGCAGCGGGATGCCAAAAGCAGCACCGGTCACGACATTGAAAATGCCAGTAAACACCAAGGTGCTGTCAAGATAGATAGATCGTTGCACGGCGAGTGCAATCATCAAGGGAAGCAAAGTTCCTAGGTCGCCCAGAGCGCCAGAAACTTCGGCGGCGGGTTGGCGGCGCAGAGTCGCAACATTGTGTTGATGGACTCGTTTCAAATGACTGAGGACCGTCATGATGCGGGGAAGTTGAACCGAAGTTCTGGACTTTGATGAAAATGAGTCGGCTCAGATCGCAGGCCCAGCCAAGACAGATGCTACGAGCGCAACAGGAGCAGTTACTCTGTGAATACCATGTATTGAGGAGTGAGAAGCGACTCCTCTAACAAGCTTCTTGTGATGACGAGGCCCCAGTGATGTCTTTGGTCGCCTGAGTGTGTCAGCACCCAGGCGCGTGAGCTCTGAAGCTCAGGCGGCCGCGTCCAACAATCCACTTGGATCGGAGCAAGCAACTCCTCGGCCGACACAGGCGCGAGGTGGTGATTGGTTCGTCTCAACCCATGCTGCGATTCCCCAACTTGGTGTTCCGCAGCGGTGATAAGGAGATAAGAATGGCCAGCGGTTACCTGAGCATGTCGTCATAGGCCTTCATCGGTGGATCCTTCCCGCCAGACAACGATGAATGATCTGATTCTCCGGCGTCTTATTAGCTTGAGATTACATAAGTCATAACGAGCAGGAGGAGGTCAAACCGTCAAAAGTTTGGAGTAATTGTGGTGGCTGGCCGCCGAAGAAGACGCCGAGACGGCACCGTTTTTTGTTTGTGCTAGGAACGGGCAAAGACCGGACATGAGAGCTACCTTAGCGTGCAGTCCCGGGTGCTCTAATAACGAAGCCGGGCTGAATCCGCAATGGCAACGACAAGGACTCAGAAGAAAAAAGAAGAAAAAACTTCAAACTGGGCCATCGGAACGGGCGGAGGGATTCGGTCTGCCACCCGCCCCAGTGTACCCGGCCTTACCTCACCTCACTTGGGGCTTACCATGCGGAAAGGGCCCCGGGGCGTGAAGCGGTGTATGGGGCTCCGAGCTGGACTCTGGTATGAGGTTTTTGTTATCAAATCAGCGCTTGGCTGTGGGACACAAGAGAGCGACGCTGTGACCCTGCGAGGCAACGGCGCGCGTTTGAAGAAAGAAAAGATGGACGGTCATCAGGTCAGGCCAGACGGTTGACCTTGACAGAGACAGGCCAACCATCGGTCCTGGGTGGGCGCGAACCCCGATCCGATGTGACGGGCTACGATGCGATGGAGACAGCAAGAAGCTGCGGGACCTCCACTCCCGGTGTGTTTGCTGTTGGTGGCCCCTACTTTGTTTTTGTGTTAAGTTATTGAATTTTTATTTTATTTTATTTTGTATTATTATTATCCAGTTATTCACAGCTGGATTTGCGCTCCCATTGCCCGGCTAGTATGACCCCGCTGGCTAACAGCTCTTGATGCTTGGCCGAGGTCTGGGCAATTGACTGAATCAAGCGATTCTTGGCAATGAGAGCGCATCTCAGCTACTCAGGTCTGCCAACGTTTTGCCAATCCATCCGCAGCAGCTTGGCCGGGCGCAGTTATTAAGAACCAAGGCCGACCAACCAGAATCGACATGATGCGGCATTTGCAGAGTTCCAGAGAGCTTCACATCAAGCTACTTGCCTCGTACAGGTGGCTGATGATTAGCCAAGCAAAGTCAGGGAATCGCCAAGCGTGTGGAAGGCCAGCTCGAGTCGGTGACGCTCTGGCCTGGCCTGGCCCGGCCTTGTAGGTACAGAGAAATAAACAACGCAAGGCGATGAGCGGGTGTGAAGAGGATAAGACGGGACTGTAGTTACTAAGGTAAGTGGGAGGTGTCGGCAGCGGGAGCAGGGCGTCCTACGAGCGGCAAATCGGTCGGTTAGGTACTTGTAAAGATATTGTCATCAGAAATGTCGCTTACAGAGGCAGACCAGGGCCGTCACAAAGAGCACAGAAAGATGGTGAGGAGACTGGGAGGTACGGTCACAAAGAAGCCGGGGCGTGTTGGAGGTGTCCCCGAGAAATCTCCCCTGCGGCATCGGGCAAAGCGAGGGATAATGGAACCAGCACCCTTCCAAGGTTCTTTTCTTTCCTCCCGTCGGGGCCATCCCGTTGCCAATCCCATTGGAGCCTATTCCGCCCTGTGTCGGCCAGGACTTGCAGAACATTTGTTGTTCCGGTGTAAGATGATCACTAACAGCAGACAAGCTAGCAAATAACGAGAGCGACTAACGACTAACACGGGCCTTGGGCGACAAGAGCCAGGACGGTCTGACAAGGAGTCGACAAGGACGCTAGCAGGCCACCGGTATCTATCGCCCTTAGCACCCGGGATTGTGATACTTGTCGAATGCAGCCGAATTCCCTACAACCACGAGGTAGAGCGGCGCTTTTCCCTTGCCTCCCCCAGGGCAAGACCCGGCGAGTTGAGTGTGAACCACAGTCCACTGACCTGCGAACCCACTGGAAAACTGAGGTCGGGTGTGCTGGGGCCCCATCGCGGTGCCGGCCCCATCAGAGGTGCCCATGTCATGCAATCGCCCAATCTCTGCAGTCTGCACCACCACACCAGGCAGGACCTGTTGGGCTCAAGCTGATCCCTCCACGACTCACGAGAGCAGCACCGGCGCGGTGGAAATTCGCGCGAGCGGGAAGAAGGAAAAGGTTGCTGCTACCTGTAATAAAATGTGCCTAGGAAGGAGGCACGGAGAGTTGGAGGTGCCGTTTGGTAGGTAGGTAGGCAAGGTAGACAGGTAAGGTAGATACCTAGGTAAGGTACGGATAGGAAGGCAGGAGGTACCTTGCCTGAGCAGGTAGGTACCTACCTACCCTGCCAGTGTGTTCTGTGCGCCTTGCCGTCCCTGGCGATGCCCCCACAGCGGTTGCCTTTCGCGACGACTGACCCTGCCGTCTTCCCGGCATCCTTGGAGACAAGCTTTCTGCTGCCCTTGGCGCCGCTTCCTGTGACATGACGCTACCACCGGATCCTACCTGCCTGCCTGATGGTCTAACCCTTTCACACTTACCGTAGGTGTACTGCGTAGTAACGAGTACCTCTTGTCCTCTGTCGTTCTCGCCATTGCGCCGCGGGAAAAGTATGTTGTCGCTGTATCCGGCCAGGTCGAATCACCGTTCGCGCCTGCCCATCCGGCCACTATTTGAGCAGCTATTTACTACCTCACCCGCCCTCAATTGACCTCTCCTTCTGCTCCCGTTCTTCTTTCCCTCCTCCAACTCACTCGACGATCAACCCCATCAATTGACACCGACTCTCTCGTGCGACGGTCAATTCCGGTTCCCCTCCTCGTCGCGTGTTGTTCGCCCAACGTGAGCATCGGATGCCAAGATTCACCCCAGTTTTTGTTTCCTTACCTTGCTGACAAAGTGCGCGCCCTGCGACGCATAGCTAGCCTCCCCCCAGTGACTGCGATCGAACCACCCCGCAGAACTCTCTGAATCAAAGGTAAAATTCCCCTTTTCGCGTCCCAATTAGCACGCCAAACACTTCTCCGGACCCCTCATCCAGAATCGGCGCCGCTCCTTGCCCGTCAAGGCTTGCTCCCGTGCTTTGCGCCCGGCGCGCTGGGCCAGATCATAGGAAACAAGACCGGACATTTGTCGGCCAGCCGAACGCCGGATACCCCGGTAATGACGATGGACACCGAGCTTCCAGGGTCCGCATTCTAAGACCTCGGACGGTCGTCTCCATAAAATACCTCAATGGGACAAGCTTTGCCGTCCCAATTGATGTGTTTTTTCGGCCTGATGCTACTCTAGCAGCTTGTAGTTGCATTCACCACGAGCAAGCTCACTCATACATATTTCACACGCTCAGCACCATTCGCCCTCTTTGTTTTGGTTGCCGTTGTTTCTCCTCTCCTCACTCTCCCGCTGACAAGTTTTCTCCTCTCCAGCCGACTCTACGCTCAAATTCAGTCACAATGCCCGCCATCAACTCCATTGTCGCCCGCGATGCTGTTCACCAGCTCGCCAAGCGCGAGAACTGGGCCTCTCAGGAGGCCGGTGTCATCGTCGTCTTCTGCATCGTCTTCATCGTCGCTTGCGGTATTGCCGGCCTCATGATCTCCCGCTGCATCTCCAGGCGCAAGGCCGCAAAGGCTGCCGCTTAAACGCCGTCACTACTACACCAAGGCAGGGAGCATGAGGTGCGGTGGAGGAAGTAATGGACGGCTTCAGCATGAACTATCGAAGTCGCGATGGGCGGCCCTCTAATGACAACAACCACGACTTACACATGAGGGCTGCTGCTGGAACGGGCGCGAAGGTCCCAGCACCATTCATCACTACACTCGCGGATCATCCACCATCCCATCTATCGACTTTGATTCTCGACCCGGTCAACGACGACAGGATTGGAGTCTCACGAGAGACGTGGTTACGAGGAAATGTCCAGAGGCCGTATATACCGGCATGAAGGGACGACTGGCCGGATAATACGTGGGAGCGGCCACATGTCAAATCAAGACGCCGCAAAGGATATTATGAGCCCTTTTTTGTTTTCTTAATGATACCTATTTCATCGTTGCGCAATCAAATTTGCTGCATTCCAAACCGCAATCGGGAAGCTGATGAGCAACGTGTGCCACTTCGCCGTCCGAGAACATGTGCGTTCCTGAGACAATGTCTCGCATTGAGAACCTTGCGCTTTTTCCTCCTTATCTCTTATCCACAGGGAAAAAAAAAAAAAACCGGACACAAAAGTGGCCCCATTTGTTTTGTTTTGCCAGCGCAAGCTGCAATCAAACTCGGACATCAGATGGCACGACTTTGGCATGAGCGAACCGGTTTGGCCCTGGCGAACAGACCCGTCCTCGGATTTCAGACTGAAAAATTTGGCACTGGCCACTGGATGTCTGTTGCATGAACTGCTCGTCTGAAAAGAACCCTCGACGTTCTGCGGCCACGACTTTGTTGCAGTTTGGGACTTTTGTACACATCCCCGGACTGGGGGCGCTTTTTTGGCCCGTCTCTCCCAAGCCACTCGGCCAAGAAAGACTGCTTACATCCCAGGTCGCCGGGATTGTAAAAGATAGTGCACCAGCGTGCCCGTCATGGAAATACTATCTCGCTTTATCCCTGGACACTTTGAGTTATCCCGCGCCATCCTGTTAACCCGTAATTCGTCCGACGAGAACCTCAACACAGCCAGGCTGACGCCGACAGAGTGTTCTCTTACGCGTTATGTTGTCGACGGGCTATTCCTATTAAATGCGGTTTAGGGACGTTCTCTCGCGCATAAGTTTGCTCGTCGACTTCTCACCTGTGATCCTCATCTTGCACTATTAACGAGGTGGGAAACCCGCAGCCCACACGATCACCACCCATCTTTCTCGAGGACATTCACCACAGTACTGAGAAACATTAAAATCAAAACACACGAGACAGAAAGTCAACAGACTGCTAGAACGGCTCCGTATTTCTTAATCAAAAGCAGCCCCGTCCGCCTCCATGGATCAACCCCCGAGACCCGGGAGTCCGCCCCGCCGGCTGCGGGCCTGCGTGCCGTGTACAAGGGCCAAGGCCCGCTGCAACTTCCGCGAGGAGAATGCCGGGAAGCACCTCTGTGACCGGTACGTCTTGTTGTAATCAGGCTCGCTGAGCAGGCCAGGCTAACTTGGAGCCATCGAAGATGTGATCGTCTCAAGATTGATTGTGCGGCAAAGACGACGCGGGGTGTGAGGCGGCCGAGACAGCTTAAGCCGTTGGTGAAGTGAGTTTTCTTCTCCAGGGATGACCTGTTGGTGAACATGGGCTTACTGATAACGCCTCAGTCGTGTCGCCTCTCTCGAGCAACAAATAGCTCCTCTCAGAACAACAGACAAGCCAGACAGCATATCGGCATCGTCTTCGGGCAGCTCAACATCCAACTCAAGCTCACCGCAAAGCAGCCTAAAAGGCCAAGGAGACCCTGATGCCACCGGCAGACAACACACCTCGGATGCCGGCTATCTCTACCCAGCCGCTCAAGACGGCCTCAAAGACCCGAACACGCCTCCGTTTGGCTTCACATGGGCCCAAGCAAGCTTCATCCTCAACGACTTCCGCGACAAGTTCACGCCAAACTTCCCGTTCGTCATCATAGACCGCCATACGAGCCCGCAAGACCTCCTCCGCGAGAAGCCATTTCTCTTCCGCGCCGTCATGCTGGCGGCCGCGCCGCTCCCGCGTCCCCGCATCGCCAACATACGGAGCGAGGTGCTAGCGTACCTCGGCCATCGCATGCTGCTCGAGAACGAAGAGAAGCTGGACCTTTTGCAGGGGATTCTAGTCATTGTGATGTGGTGAGTGAACCCCCTTCCTCCCCTCTTGTACATTCCAAGAGACCAACAAACAACAAAAAGGGCCGACATCAAATACTTCTACGACAAGCAAATCACCCGCCTGGTCTACCTGGCCCTCGGCTACGCCCACAGCATCGGCATCACCCGCATCCCCCTCTCCGTCCTGTCATCCACGGGGACCGCCGCCACCACGGCGCAGCCGGACGACTGCTTCGCGTCCCGGATGGCCGCCTCCATGATCCAGCACCACACCCCCGAGGAGCAGCGCGCCTTCCTCGGGCTCTTCTACGTCGTGACGGTCAACTCCAACCAGTTCGCCCGCCGCAACCCGCTGCTGCAGCAGAACGGCGGGGGCGGCGGCGGCGGCCTGTACGTGGACATCTGCTGCGAGCAGCTAGCGAGGTCGGGCTCGCCCGAGGACGCGCTGGGCGTGAGGATGGTGCGCTTCATGCAGATCTCCGGGCGCATCGCCGAGGTGTTTGGGTCGTTTGCGAACCGCGCCACGGGGGAGTCGTACGCGACGCTGTTCGAGGCGCAGGCCGTCGCCATCAGGAGGGAGGTGGACCGCATCGCGGACGAGATTGACCCCCGAGACCCCTACTTCGGTAAGTTCTTGATCTTTCTTTTGTGCTGCTGCGCAATGCTGACAAGTTTCCTTCGCTAGCATACCTGTGGATGCAGTACAACTGCGTTCTCGTGCAGCTGTACGAGCCGGCAATCAACGCCGCGACGTCGACCCCGCTGCACCGCACCACCTGCCTCCTGGACTGTCTGGCGGCCGCGAGGGCGTACTACGAGGCCCTCACGACGCTGCCCCCGGAGCAGTTCCTCTACCGCACATCGGCCAGCATCAGCCACGCGCAGACGGTGGTGACGGTCACGACGAGACTGCTGGTTCTCGAGGTCGAAGGGTGGGATCTGGAATCTGCCAGGGCATCACTCGACTTTCTCGACGTGACGGAGCGGATGGCCGTCTTGTTCAGGAGAACAGTGGACGCAGGTCGGGAGAGGATGGAGCAATTCTCTGTGGAGACTGGCGCGGCTTACCCATGGATAGAAGATGAGAACACGGAGAGCAGAGGAGGGATGTGCGAGGAGCTGGTTGAGAAGATGGGATGGATCAGTGACTGGTACAGGTCCAAGCTTGAGGTTGAGGAGGGAAAGATGGCATCAGACAAAGTCAACAGGGAGTTGCTGGAAGAGATTGCACGAATATGGCAATGGTCTCCGAATGCTCAGAGCTTGCCGTTTTTCGGCGGCTTGTTGAATCCTCTCGATGTTAGTTATGAGGGTATTTGAGAGGCCCCGTCTGGTCTAAGTAGTAAAAGTACAATAGGCAAATGTTGACCCATATATGTATGTCCCTTCTCGCTCAAACCGAACGCCCAAGAAAACGATCCTCTTCGCCAGGTCTCATTCTGTCGTAGCAAGCCTTCATTCCCGGTCCTGTCTCTTCGGTGCTGAGTCTACATCATCTCCATCCATGATGCTCGTATTACATACCACTGGATCAGTACCGACACTCCGATGTGGTGCCTCCATCAAACCACATCCCACGCGATCATTAGCGGTAATATGGCAAGCAAGAAGATGCAGGCCACTAGTGCAGGTACCACCGGTGGCACGGACTCTGCTACGTCTTCAGCTAGCACGAGCAGGTCCGCGAGAGGCACGATGATGATCCTTCGAATCAGAGCGAGAGGACTCCGGCCAGTCCGGCAGCAACGGCAGCGGGTCCAGAAGCTGTGCTGATACGTAACGTCATCGTGCTTTGGAGCTGAGAGGGCAGCGCGGACGTCGGCGCTGAGGTCTGGAAGTGAGCGCGATGAAAGGCGGCCATCTGAGCAGTGGGTTAGTTAAATCCATCTGTGATGAAGGGCAACCGGATGAAAAGATGAGAATGAGATGGCACGGAGAACGTGGAGAGGGTGGAGAAGAATGGATGACCGGGTCCGAGATGGGGGCGTTGAGTGGGTAAGCTAGGTAGATGAGATAGAGCTGACTTACTAACGGGTGTCCGAGGCGGAAGCGGTGACCGGGCGCCGGAGACCGGGAGGGGTGACCGGCTGCCGTCGGGTGGGATCTCTTGAGTCCGGCCCTTGGTCCTTGCGTAATAAGCTGGAGGAGTCAGTCAGAACAAGTGTCGGGATCCCTGGGGATGTCTTGTCGGGAAGGAAGAGCAGTGTTGGTGAGGATGAGTATGAACGTACGCATTGTGAATGTGAAGTGTTTGTCGTGACACACCTCGACGTGAGTCTGTACGTCTATGGCGGGTTTCCGTAGTAACTTGGACCGTTCGTGCTCGTACTGGGCAAATCACCTGTGGGGTGTTCTCAAATTCGAGGGCCAGCCGAGAGTGGGCGCATGTGGTGATTTGATAGCCGATATTCTTTGCATTCCTTAATTATGTGGTCGAAGGGAGGATTTGCCGAGAAGCGATGCGTGTGTTTTCCCCTCTTTCTCTCTCTGCCGTTTAACGGAAGGGAGCCAGCAATGGAATGCGGCTTGCGCGGGTGTTTGTATGACAGAGCAGGTGACAAAAATCGAACAAACCCCGTCTCCGGCCTCCCGTGATCAAGCTGGGCTGGCGGTTTGGGGGGCCTATTGATTGGAGGGTAGCGAGATTGGATGCCAATGCCAATGCCGACCGCCGATGCGAAGTGCCAAGACACGCAAGGCACAATTGTTGACAGATTCGAGTGTGGAGATGTTGGAGCGGAAGTGTTGGAAGTGAAGGGCGAGCGGTGCAACAAGAACCAGATGAGGGTGATCGACAGTCAGAGCCACCCTCTCGTCTCGTCAGTCGTCTTGGGTAATGTACCTCGCTCTGTGTCGGTAAGGTGGGTAGAATAGACGTAGCTGGGCGATGAGGCGGGAGCGAGGCTTGATGCCAAGAAATCAAAAAAAGAAGAAGTTTTGGCAAGAAGTGACCTCAGTGCGGACGAGACTGCAAAAGGTTGTTGCTGAAAACGTGAAGGGGGGATGGGTCGGCCGTGTTGAGTGACTTGTTCTTGGGAAGTCGAGTCGCAGTATGTGCTTCCCGCAATTTTGAGTTTGACCCCAAGGATCCAGTTAGCTTGGCGGGGAGATGAATTGCGGGATGCTGTGGCTTGTTCCCCAGGCGCTGCACTACGCCAATGCAAGCCTAGAGTGAGACAAAAATGCAGAGGTATGCAGCGCAGCAGCAGTAGTGTGTAAGTACTTTGATGGGCTAGGCGCGAGGTTGACGATGATGATCTAAGCCTACCAAAAAGGGGGGGTCATCTGGAGACATGGCAGTTGACCTACTAATACACCACGGTATGTATCGAGGCCAGCACATCTCGGGAACGGGGCGGAAGGGTGGGTGGGTGGATGCGGCTTTCGAGCCAGTTGGCCACATGGCCGGCCAGGTTGGGTGAATGATCGAGTTGGAGATTGCACTGCCTCACTCGTCGAACAGCTTTTCTCCTAGGTATCACCTTGTTGGAGAGCGGCGATTCATGCCGCCCTCGTTGTCTTCATGCACAACCTCGACTGCACAGGCCCGGCCAACGGTCGACGTCCCAAGAATAAATAACAAACGCCAAGAAAAGGAGGCGACGGTTGAATTACTGAGACTATGAGCACATATCATCTTCCCCTTCAAGCAATGCTGGTGGTGTGGGTGCTGCCGCACTGCGTGAACCAACTGGTATCTTTTGAAACTCCAAACAACAATACCAACGTCCGAGCCGCGCTGTCTATGTCTTATCAAAACACCACATCTCTCCTAGCCTTCTATGCGAAAAGGGCAGATAGCCATCAAAACCACGTGCGGCTTGTGCTGAGCCTCTTGTAACTGCTCCGCTCCCTAGCGCGCTGGTACTCCATGTCGGCCGAGGCGTCTTGCTTCTTACGCCGAGTCTGCCCGTTGGCTTCCTCGAAGAAGTAGTGGTTTGGGCCTTTGGCGTAAGCCACTTTCCAGGGTACCACGAAGTCGGCCTTGATGGGACCGCCGCCGCAGCTGCCCTTGAGCTGCTCGCTCGGCGGCGAGTTGACAGCCAGCGCGAAGAGATTCTGTGGTTCTGTGTAGTCGGTGACCAGACCCGAGCGTGAGAGAAAGTAGCCCAGACAGAAGATGTTGATGAGCAAAACAAGGACCAGAGCCAGGTAGAAGACGTTCTGCCATTCGTACTCGTGCGATGAGGTGTACTCCTGCGTGCGGATCGTGGCGTTAAACGTAGCGAGAGCACCTGGTTCTCCCAGCTGCATCGTTTCATAGTCCCAGTAATGGATGAAGGGCGTCCCTATACTGCCGATGACCAAGGTTGACGAGGCGAAGACGGCGAGCGCTTCGGCCATGGAGGGAAGCAGCGGGTTGAGCTTGCCCTGTTCTAGAATGAATTGCGTGAGTGTCCGGGCGTTGGAGGCGTTATTGTTCACCGTTCCGCCGTTGATATCCATCGAGAGTCGCCATTGATCTGCGATATTCTGGTAAAGTGAGTAATCAACCCAGAGAACCGCCATGTTGAGCATTACATACCTTCCAATCGCCATCAGGCTTTTCAGGTGTGACCTCAGGCACGGAACGGTCGTATCTGTCTGGGTCATCGGGATCTTCGCAGTGAGCCTGCATATGTGAACCAGCGGTGCCAGAGATGTTGAAATGAGTCGAGCAGTTGGGCGTGACCCAGGAACGCATCTCACAAAGCGTGTAATTAGTGATGGAAGCCGATTTGGCCAGGAGGTAAATGGCATCTCCTTGATACACCTAGTGCAAGTCAGCAAACGCTCTTACTCCCATTGGCAGCTCATCCATACTGTAGTGTTGGTAATCATGTTGAAATCTGCAGGATACTGTTCGACCTGTCAGCATTAAACTTTCGGATCAACAGCATAGACACGTACAAGCTGGAACACGGGCGGCCGACGCTCGTATGTTGGCCCCCAGCGGAAAATGTCATCGACTCTTGTTCGGTTGAGCCACTCATCTTCCTCGGGATGAGGCACCTCTCCCTCCCAACCAGCCCAACCGGTAGTCTGGTTGCCAACCCCGGTTGCATTTGTTTGGCTATTCTCCCACTTCGTATAGATGAGAGGTGCCAGTTCCTCCTCGTTCATATTGACGCACATCACATTGATGACAGGGGAGACAACGCTCGCTCTAATAGCATACTCTCCAACACCTGAAAGATCGTTCGGTTGGAGGATCTTATTCACGGGGTTTGTTGCGGCATCATACACACCTGAACGAGTTTTCTTAGCAAAGCCTTGAATACCTCAGACTTTTGCAGTACTTACCGGGATGGGGCATTGCAAGGGTTACATTGTGAATGATCCTCCCCTTCTCCTCGTACTGGCGAGTTACATTGCTGTATTCCGTTTTGACCCAGGTTGTAGTCAAGGTCGTATTGTCGTACAACAGCGTGGTTCCCACAGGCCGGTGAGACATGTCCAAAGAGGCGCCCGTACCATTATGGTTAATTTCGTCCCACACTGTCAAGAAAGATACCAAGTTCCGATAGGCTGCCTGTGGGTTAGCATCGAGTCTTCCTCCGGAAGGGACAAGCTCACATTGCCCGGCATACTGAATGTCCAAGCACGATCTGGCAGCAAACTCCGGTCCATTTGGATCTTCCTTGCGCAGGGGTGTCGGGCAGCTATCCTGCGTAGCAAAAGTGTTTGCGTAAGAAGACAGAACATAACCATTCAACGCCTTGCTCTCCCAGCCGCCGTATTTCAGCTTGGGTGAAACCATGACGTCAGAAGCGGTGGTGTAGAACGTCGACGCGATGGTCGCGATAAGGGAGATTGCTCCGAGGAATGTGACTGCGGCGTAGGGAAGGGTTTCCCAATGCGTCAACATGAACCCAGGTTGCTACGTCACGTTAGATGTGGCAGGAGAATACATATGGCTGAGGTACTCACAATGACCCAGTTTCTCATCGTCATCTCGGCCAAGGTCATCCCCTTGGACGACTTGACGAATGACCGACGTGTCAAAACCTGACCAATGAAGGCCACGAAGACCGTCACGAAAGATATTTCAATCGTCTTCGCGAACATTGCGCAGACCATGGTGGCCGTCGAAGGGGCGATGCCGCCGCTCGATGAGATTGTCGGTCCCCATCGTGGTTGCACCACGGCAACGACAAACCATAGACAGCTGAGGCCTGTTGAGTAAATTGAAAGCGCTATAATCGAGATGGAGAGCCAATTCGCTCTTCTTCTGTGAACGTCCTTCCGTGAGTCGCAATAATGTGGCACATGGCCTGCGTATCGTGTTAGTGGCTGTGAAAGTTGAGTTTAGGAGCCCATATTAGCCTTACTGTATCTCTTGTAAAAGGTCTCATCGTCGTCATGAGAATCGTTATTTTCTGCGTCGTGGTCGTTGCGCATTTGCGCGCTGTTGCCCCTGTCTGATCCCACCGATGTCGCATCTTGTCGATGACCGTCTTTGCTGGGGTTTACCCGCCCTAAATCAATTTCGTCCCGAGATGAGGGATCCCACGAACCGTCATCTCTCGGCGGATCGTCCCAAGGCATCGTCAACTTTCCCATGCGTGTAGCTGTTCTCAAAGAGTTTGGCGACGTGACTGGCGTTTCCTCCAGAGGCGAGACGAGGTCCTGATCTGGGTTCTGAGCAAGTGAAGCAGGTCCAGACTCTGCTCGAGGCGATGTAATTCCAGACTCTGGCGAGCCGGGAAATCCGTTGTTGAAACGAGGCGTAGCGGGTGAGCTGCTTTTAGAGCCAACAGGGACGCGTGTAAAAGACACACGTTTTGCGATCCCCTGTACTGAAATACCGAGAGGGTCGCTTTCTTGACTGTAGGAGGTGTCGGGTCGAGCCACGTGCTGGTTTTCAGTAACACCATCTAAAGGTGAAAGGTCAATGGAGCCAGAGGGCATTGGCCGATAGCTATCTCGGCGGAAGATGGTAGACGAAAGGAGACCTCCAGGTGGCGAGGGTCTGTCGTCGCGACTTGTTTGTGAGTTGAAAAGATGGCTTTCCTCGACCTCAGGGACTGGGTGCAGGGAGTAAGGGATGCGCCTGTGATCACTTTCGGCCATGGTGGGCTTGAATGAAACTCCGGTTTGTGTGCTGGGCCAAACTGATTATCTAACAAGACATTACTTTAGGCGTAAAAGGATAGCTGCAGGGCCGGCCGGATGTCAGAATCCTGCTTGGACCTTTTGGCGAGGGATGAACTCCTGGGCTGTTGTGCTTGCGAGCTGGCAAACGAGGGGACACAGGTGGCGCCAAACGGACGGGTTGGAATGTTCGTGGAGGCAAGGGGTGACGATCGTCGGGGAGCGCGCGGACACTAGTCTGCGATGAAGCCGTAGTGAGTGTCTCGCGTTGCGTGATCTCGGCGCCGGTGGTACAGATGCGACGGGAAGGGACAAAGCAGTAGCTCTATATGATACTCGGGAGGGCGCATACGTCTGAGATTCAACCAGGTTTTCGTCTGTTTGTCGTCGTCTGGTTGGCCCTTTGCGGTTTACGGGTTCGGAAACAAGGCACAGTTTCGTCCCAGGGAAGAAAGACAATCAGAGTATTAGGGAGAAAACTTGGCACGAGGAGTGAAACGGCTGGGAGGACATGCTGCCATGATAGAGGGTTCGTGGGACCAAGGTTGTAGAAAGAAGGGGAGTGGTATAAGAGGAAGCGAGAAACAGCCATGACAAGAGCATCGGCTAGCAGGGGCACGACGGAGGTTCTTCAGAGTTGATCCTTCGGGGCGGAGAACTGGTCAAACTGATCTAGTCGCCGGCGTCAACGCCGCAGCTGCGGGCTCGGCTGCCCATCGGCGACGGAAGACTTCTTTCGTCGCATGCGGCTGGCCCCCCACCCATCATGTTGGGGATCACTTCCTCATCCTGCCTAGAAACCTGCAGATGAGCAACCCTTCAAAGTGACTTAATCTGCGTGGGATTGATGGGGATCCTGGCCTCGTGCCTATAATCTTAGAGATCGGTGCTGTGGTGCTGGTGCTGGTGCTGATGTTGGTGCAAAGTAGGGATCTAGCAACAGGGCGCTGCGGGCGGCGTAGCTGAGAGCGAGAAGGGGTTGGTTTCCTGAAGCAATCATTGATCCTTGTCAGCGACGACGCAGGGAGAGGAGGCAGTGGAGTGATATCTGAAGACGGGTTTCCATTGCTGTTGGTTGCTAAAGCACACAGCCACAGAGCCATGTGCGTCTTGGAGCAACAAAACGCACAATACTACCAAGCAAGACCCGAGAGTCTGGCACCTGAACTTGACCGGGGTACGCTTCATGTACGCGAGCCTTGGTTCTGATCAATTCAAACGTGCCCTGGGCTGCATGCCCGCTCACCGCGACATGTTTGGCAGTTGCTGTATGCGTGTTGGGAGGTCATGCAGCCAACTCTCGCAAAGAAAGGAATTGCTAGGCGAATTGAGGCTGTGTACGTAGCTGGTCAACGAAATCGACACATCAAGTCACCAGCAGCGCAGGCAGCTCTTTAAACGTTTCTAAGTTTGTCCGTGCTAGCCTTCCATGCGGGACTAATCAATCCTCATCATCATCCCCACGTTAAGCTTACCTTAGCTTCCGCATAGAACCCTCCGTTTCGAGGCTGTTCGTCCGATCCTGTCATCAGACTCGGACTGCCGCTGTCATCGGATTTCGTCCAACGTTTGTCCATCATCATGCGCTTCCTTTGGCCAGCCCCTGGCGCAAGCAATTGTGACAAGAAAATCAGCCATTTTCACATTACCTAATGTCATCTATCAAACCTTGCCCGCCCCAGGCATGTGCTCTTCGCCTCTTCGCCAGTCGCCGCCAGCCTGATTTGCTGGGCATCTGAAAAGTTCCGCCCATCGCATCATAAATAAAGAATCATAACCCCAAAATAGTTCGCCTCCTCGTTCTTATGCTCGTACTGTGCCTGCTCTCCTTGATCCTTGGCTGGCAATTCCCGACTTCTTTTGCGAGTTTCCACCAGGTCTTGCCAAGGTGTACTTGGCGAAAGCCCGAGCCAGGGCCTTCTTGCAGCTAATCTTTTGACTGCCAACAAAACTATCCACCGTCACAGCGATTGCCCTGTCAATGTCCTGCGCTGAGCAGTACTCTGACAGTCTCATCCTGCAAAAAGCTTCGCTGATGCGGATGATGGCTTCGAGATGGCGCACCTGATCAACAATTAGCAGAGATTCTGGTCGCCCATCGTGGGATACTTACTGTAATTGGGTACGCGCCAGTAGCAAGAGACTCTCTTCTCATGTCGGCAAACAAACGTGCGACCTTGTCCTCGTCCATGTGGTACAACTTGGGACTGACACGCTCGCGTGCGTACAAGATGTACTTGCGGAGAAGTTCCTGAGGGATTTCGCCTTCCTTCTTCTGCGTCTCAGCTTGCGTGTCCTGCTTCTCGGATTCCTGCTCAACATCCATCGAGTCCGCAGCGGGCTGCGAGGATGCAGGGTGGCTGCGGCTGTGAGATCCGACAATGAAACGAGCGAGACGTTCGTCCTCCGCAGGCTCCACAGTGTCCCGAACCACACACAGAATGTCAAAACGAGAAAGAATTGGCTCAGTGAGCTCGACGTTGGCCGAGAAAGGGATGGTTGAGTTGTATCGCCCACCAATGGGGTTGGCTGCGGCAATGATGCCACATCGAGCTTGCAGAGTTGTGACAATACCGGCCTTTGAGATGGAGATGGTCTGTTGCTCCATGGCCTCGTGGATTGACGTACGGTCTTGGTCGTTCATCTTGTCAAACTCATCAATCAAGCAGGTGCCCTTGTCTGCCAATACAAGAGCACCGCCCTCGAGAGTCCACTCTGAAGTGATGGGATCCCGACGAACACTGGCTGTCAGACCGACGGCACTGGCTCCTTGGCCAGTCGCGAAAACTGCGCGATGTGCCGTCTTCTCAACATACTTGAGAACCTGGGACTTTGCGGTACCAGGGTCACCAAGAAGCAGAACGTTGATGTCGCCACGGACTTGATGGGCACCCTTTCCAACCTTAGCAACACCGCCAAACAGGGACAAGGCTACCGCTGTCTTGATATCCGTGTGACCGTAGATGCTAGGGGCGATAGAGTTGATGATCTTATCGATGATAGCGGGGTCGCGAGAAAGCTTGCGAATTTCCTGCTCGTCTTCTTCCGTCATGCGGAACCCAGCCAGCTGATCGTGAGATTTGACGACGTTATTTGCTTCCAAAATGGTGGCAAAAACAGGGAATCCGTTGCGGTTGTTCAGCTGGGCATCGTAGTTGTTTTGGTAAATTCCGGTGACCTCAATCTCCTCGCCAGGCTTGGCCTTGTCAATGAGATCCCACAGTAGGATGACCTCTCTATGACGAGGCAGACGGCCAGCTGGAACGGTGCCAGGAGACTCTTGGAGAGTGAGCTTCTGGTAGTTGCGGTAGACCGTCTTCTCCGAGTTGAGCGTGAAAGGACCGCGGGATTGGCAAGATTGGCAGTAGGAGATCTTGACCTCAACATTCGACTCCTGCTGGAATGGCCCAAGAGTAATACCGCACTTGGTGCAATCGAACTTGACATGCTTGAGCTGGGGGAAGACACCAGTTCGCTTGGTGACAACACCGCTGACCCTCACCAGGCAGTTCAAGTGCGATTGACGGAGCTGTCTCAGAGTGTAGTGAACAGGCAGGTCGAAGATGCGCACATGAATTTCGGAGTGGATGCGCTCGTAGTCGGGGTAATGCAGAAGAACGACATCCATGGCGACCTCGTCGAAGAGCTTCAGGACTTCTGCCGGAGCATTGGCCAAGTAGTAGGCGAGAAGTGCTTGAGAGGAGGAGAGATGGTCGTAAGAGACCTCAAGAGACTCGGCGTTGACCTCACCGAGGGTGCGAATGCGGTTTCCGTAGACCGAAGAGCCGTGTTCGTCGGTATATTCCGTCAAGAAAGCCTTGAATTCTCTCTTGATGGTCCTTTGGACGTTCGGTTGTGAAACCCATTCGGTCAGACTAGCAGCCTTCGCATCTTGCAAAGCCTCGAGAGAAAGCTCCTCCTCCAGAATGTCGGCGTCCATATCCTCATCAGGGTCTTCGTCGTAGTGGTGACGGCGACGGCGGGGCTGGGCCGAGAGATCTATGTCACCTTCATCGTCTTCACCGGGAAGGAACGCGGCGGGGATGCGTTGGCGGCGGGCAACTTCTCTGTCTCTGCGGTTGAGCTGAGATTCGAGTCGTCTCCTTGCACCCAAATCCATGTCATCAAAGTCGCCGTCGTCGTCGATGTCGAGACCCTCGTAACGATCGTCTTCTTTGGCCCTATAATCAAGCTCGAAACCCTCGCGGAACAGGTCTACGTCGTCTTCGGCCATCTCGTCCATGTCGTCGAGGTCATCGAGGATCTCGGGGTCGTCCTCGATGTCCTCGTCATCGTCACCGCCATGAGCAACGAAGGGGGCAGGAGGAGATGAGGCCAAGGGGCTGGAGGGCGCTGCGATTGAGGACGTGCCATCGTCACCATTTCCACGACCACGCTTGCGACTCGCCCGCTCTGGGACTCCTCTGTTGGCGGAGCTGTAGTTGCTTCGGAGGGGGGAACTGGATGTTGTGAGCCATGATTTTCTTCTTCCCCATGGCAACAGTGGAGCAACCACTCCCGGGGAGGCAACGGTGTCATAAAAAGCTCACCTCATATTTGCGATGTCACAGAACGCATTCGAATGTGCTGTTCTTCGCTGTAAAATGCGCAAAAAAGCGTTGCGACAAGAGGAAACTGGACAACGGTGAAGGAGAGGGGGGATTGCAGAGATGGGGAAGAGGGGGCAGGAGCACTTGGAGTGCGAAATTAGTTTGGACCCAGTCGCGCCCCTGGAAGAAACGCGATCAGGGGCGAGCGCGTAAAGTGGCACCTTTCCTCATTTGGACGACGCGTAAATGGGTTGACAGTGTGGGCAGCTGCAAGGGCTTGTCGCAGCGGACACCAGAAGCTGAGCTCAGGTCCCGGGGTACGTATCTGACGTACATAGTGCCTATCTTACAGTTACAGGTTACCTCAGACCAACGCGACTTGCCTTACTTTCGTCTTGACAACACCACACTCCGAACTATATCTCCCATCTTCAATCCGAAGGGAAAAGTCTGCCCACCATCCGTCAGTTTGATTCATTACACTTGATTCGGTTTCAAATTGGCCGACATGTCAATGGATCCGCCCCAGCCGCCAACCGCAGCATCATCCAGCGATGCTGCGGCCGTCGCTGATGCGCCTGCACATGCGCCCAAGGCTGCGCGCAGTGAGAGCTTCTCTTCGCAAAAGTCTAGCGACTCCCAGACCGCTGCTGAGTGCGTTCCTACCATCTAACTCGCGTATCAAAACATTGAAAACTGATCATAATTCATAGGTTCATCCGAGACCAAATGCAGCTGGAGGCTGATGCGCGCGAAGCGCTCCCATACGTATGTCACGTCACTCAACCCGTAGCCGGGAAGCAGCATGCCTAACTATATTTGCCTACAGAGCATCGAGAACTGCACCAAGATTTTGGGCTCGCTTCGACAGAGCGTTTTCGCCTGCCTTACTTGCAATCCTCCTCCGGCCAACCCGAAAGATCCCTATAATCCTGCTGGCGTCTGTTACGCCTGCTCTGTCCAATGCCACGGCGAACATACTCTCGTTGAAATCTTCACAAAGAGGGACTTCACTTGCGATTGCGGTACGACGCGATACCCTGCGACCAGCCCGTGTAGCCTGCGAGTCAACCCTACGACAAATACCAAAGGTGGAGTGCACTCTGAAGAGCCGGCCTCAAACAACAAGTACAACCAGAACTTTAGGAACAGATTCTGTGCATGCGAGTGCGACTACGATCCCTTTCAGCAGAAAGGCACCATGTTTCAGTGCCTAGGCCTGGGCACGGCTGAGACTGGTGGCTGTGGTGAAGACTGGTACCATCCCGGATGTCTAGTCGGTATGGGACCCGAATGGTTTGAGGGCATGAAGAAAGACACAAAGACCAAACTCGACGGAGGCGATCGTGAGAAGCCAGCATTGCCCACAATCTCCGAAGACGCGGAGCCTCAGCCAGCGACACAGGCAGCAGCAGCACCTGGTACTGGGGAGGAAGAAGAGGAAGACGACGACGACGATGTGCCGATGCCGCCCGGTTTCCCTGGAGAGGATGATTTCGAAGCTTTCCTCTGCTACAAATGCGTCAACGCCAACCCATGGATCAAGAAGTACGCTGGGGCCAAGGGCTTCCTGCCTGCCGTCTTCTCGCGCCAGAAGGCTCAAGAGAAGGTTCAAGAGGAGAAGGTTGAAGACGACAAAGTTCATGACGACAAGGCTCCAGATGCGGTAACGCAAGAGGCATCCAAGAAACGCAAGGCTGATGATGACGGCTCCGAATCTGATGCTAAGCGACTGAAGAGCGACCCTGAGGACACAGACGGCCAGCCCGACAATGTTAAGCCTGAAGTTAAGGAAGAGGCCAGCAAAACAACCACTGCTTGCAAGTGGGAAGCGTTGCCCTCGCCACCTGCAGAGGAGTTCTCACTCTTCCTGAAGGAGGATTTCCGTGACCATCTCTGCAAGTGTTCGTCGTGCTACCCCAAGCTGGACCCGCATCCTCAGCTTCTTGAGGAGGAAGAGACGTACGAGCCACCCCTCTCCGATGGTGGCAATTCAGATCACGGCGGTTCTACCAATGGCAGTGGAAGTCTTCTCGAGCGTGGCGAGAGCGCCCTGCGTAATGTAGATCGGGTTCGGGCCATTGAGGGCGTCATGGCCTACAACCACCTCAAGGATCAACTTAAGCCGTTCTTCCAGAAGTTTGCTGAGAGCGGTCAGGCCATCGGCGCGGAAGACATCAAGTCCTACTTCGCTAAACTCAGGGGCGATGAGCAGGCCATCAAAGACGCAGGGGAGGCCGCCAATGGATCGAAGGATGATGATGATGGCCACCGGCGTGAGCAAAGCGGTTACTGAACCGACAACTTCCTTCCTGGTAACAACACTATTGCATAGTCTTGAGCCCAGGCTTGTATAATGTGGAATTCAGGGGGGCATTTATCTGAACGAGAAGTTACTGCGAGGCATGACGCACATTAATTTGACGGTAGCTCTGGCGCGGGCTTTAGTTGAGGCTTGGGATCCTTCCGGCTCCTGGTACACAAGACAATGAACTGGAGATGTACTCAGATGACCAAGCGCGCCGCATCACCAGTCGTGGGACTCTGTGAACCTTGAACGTCTTGATGCTCGCGGCACTCCTTGACCACATGAATCACCAAATCACTCAGCTATCGACACCTGTATTTCACGGGCAACAATGTCTCATCAGGCCATGCTGGCTATCATACGAACAATGACGTGTTGACCAGAAGGTATCTATCCATTGAGTACATTGAACGTCTCATCCACAACTGCGCCATGCGCGCAAGCAGAAGTAAGGACCTTAAATTGAGTTCAGTCAAACTCATCCAGGTATTTGAAGGACCATGAACGCACAACCCAAATGAGCAAATGCTGATCACAAGACACTCTTGTTATCGCAAAGCCCCCAAGCTCAAGCCTATAAACCTTCGCAAGCCATGCGCCCCAAGATACCGAATGGAAGCTGCGACAGGATGATATGACGTTCATCATGACTTATGTATTATAATAAGAGGCAGATGAGTATTTGTCCTTTATCTCAGGGCACAAGAAATATAAAGGCAGCAAGCGTAGGATAGGCTTGCGTCTCTGGCTGCATATCGGTCAATAACATCAAGTGGCCACAACATGGTTGACGAAGCTGTGACTGGTAGTGGCCATCACGGTCTCGCTCCTTCCATATATTGTCTAGATAAGCCGTCCGCCTATCTTGACCAATACTGGGAAGAGGTTCTTTGAGGCCAGACCTGCCTTGCCGGAACCTTATGTGGCCCGCGTGAGTCCTCGACAAGTGCTGCCTTATCTGTGATTCGTTGGGCAAGGTAATCTACGACGCGATGAATGATCACGCGCACCTTCCTCTATCGGGATGCCCGCAGTTCCCCCAGATGTTCCCCTCAAAAGCCACGATGTTTGTAGCATTCAGGTCGTGTTTATAAACTCGGCCGACGTCCTTGTTGAACCTCTGTTCCCTTTATCTCTCTTTCACGTTTTCGATCGTTCATATCTCCGTTCTGGGCCCAACGATCATTCTTGAACCTCACAACAAAACGTCATTGTTTTATCCCACCGAGTCGCCGGGTTTCCTCCCATCGCTCGTCTCATCCACCATATCATCAGAAGAGCCATGTCCTTCAATGACCCAGTATCGCCCTTGAAAAAGACGGCCAGCAACCTCGATAATGTCACCCACGCCACTCGTACGCCAAGTGGAGATGCCACCAATGCGCCCATTACCGCGGAGGGCGAGAAGTTGGAACGAAACATCACCATTCGGCAGATGGTCTTCATAGCTCTTGGCGGCTCAATTGGAGCTGGTCTATTCGTGGGTTCCGGTGCTGCTCTAAGCTCTGGCGGTCCTCTGAACTTGGTTCTCAATTTTGCTCTTGTCGGCCTCGGCGTTGGCTGTACAATGGGCTGTCTCGGCGAGCTTGCAGGTGAGTTGAACGCTTCCCATTCTCCATCCTCTATACTGACGAGAAGCCACAGCTTCCTATCCTGTAGCTGGCGCATTCTACGACTACTCAAGGCGCATGATATCAGAGCCGTGGGGCTTTGCCATGGGGTGGAACTTCGTCTTCAACTGGCTCATTGTTTTCCCTTTTGAGCTCACTACGATCGCGGCTCAGATCAAGTACTGGGTTCCAGACTTGCAACCAGCCTATGTGATCACGCCGATTCTCTTTGCCCTGACGGGCTCGTCTTTTCTCGGATCTCGTTGGTTTGGCGAACTCGAGCATGCTTTCGGCATCGGTAAGGCACTCGCTATTGCCGTCTTTATCTTTGCAGCTATCTTCATCATTGCCGGCGCGGTGCCAACGGATCCTCGGTAGGCAGAAGTTTCCACGAGTTCAGGCCAACGGATGTTAACAAATTCTAGACACGGAACCGGAGCCGAGTATTGGGTCAACCCTGGTGCCGTGAAGAATGGCGTGGCTGGATTCTTCTTGGTCTTCCGCACTGCTGGCATGTCGTACGGAGGTACCGAACTTCTTGGACTGACGGCAGCCGAGTGCAAAAACCCGCAAAAGGCCTTACCTCTGGCGACCAAGATTGTGTTTGCAAGGATCTTCTTCTTCTATATTGTTGCTCTTCTTCTCCTTGGTTTCGTGGTCCCTTCCAACGACCCAAATTTAGCCTCCACCGGCCATGGTGCCAAGTACAGCTCGTTCACGTTGGCTGCCCAGCTCGCCAACATCAAGCATCTGCCCGACTTTTTCAATGTTCTCATCGTAGTTGCATTGATATCAATGGCGAATGCTAGCATATTCGCCGCCAGTCGAGCCTTCCAAGCTCTCTGCGAGAAGGGAATGGGCCCCAAATGGGGTGCCAAAGTCAAGTGGGGTGTGCCGGTGTATGCCTTCTTGGTAACATTCTTAGTCGGCCTGCTCGCCTTCGTCAACCTGGCCGAGGGCGGTGAAGCTATCTTCGACTGGCTGCTTAGTCTGTCGGGAGCCAGCAACTACTACACTTGGGCCTCAATTTGCTTCAGCCACATTCGCTTCCGCAGAGCATGGGCGGCCCAGGGCCACGACAAGGCCACCCTCTTGTGGCGAACACCTTTCGGTACCTGGGGGGCTTGGGTTGGCCTGCTTGTTTGCATCCTTGGTCTTCTGGCGAACGTCATTACCGCTGCGATGCCCGTCGGCGGCAAATACTCAGCCCAAGCCATTGTCCGCGACAACATTGGCACCGTCATTCCTCCGTTCCTTTACTTTGGATACCGCTTCTACCAGCGCTTTATCCAGAAGGCCAAGAAGCCATTGCTCATTCCTCTGGAGGAGGTAGATTTGCGATACGGCCTTCGCCTTACTGCTGATAGGTCTGGCGCGGATCTAGAGCAGCCGACGCGTGTCCAAGTAGTCGAGAAGTGACATTGTTTGCGAGTAGGATTTAGAAGACCATTTAGTTGTTCGCGATTGGGGTACCGGAGTTTGACAGTCTTAAGTGTTCCCGCAGGGAAATCAAACGGAGTTTTCGTTTTGTGTAGCAGTACTGGTATAAACAGACTTTGGTGCATAATTATCACAAAGACAGTTCATTCATTCCATAGTATTCGTGACAATGACCGCCAGGTGCATCGTAATGCATGACAAACGTGACTTGAGGTATAATGCGACCGCTCACCCTTGAGCGTTCCAGCTTCCCAGACCCAATCCCCAACGCCGTTTACTTTTTATTTGGAATAATTCATTGGCCCTGGTGTCGATAAAGCATTTCGAATAATTCACCAAACCTCCTCAGTCTCATTGACCAGAAGAGCCTGTGCTTGAAGTCGCACTCGAGGGCCGCGGCGGGGGCACTGGCATGCCCATGGGAATACCCAGATCTCTCTGCATCGGTACACCGCCAATCATGCTTGACTCGGGGGACTGGGGTCGTGAGTACTCGTCACCCATCTGCTGGCTTCCGGCGAGCTGTTCTTGGGCAGCCCTCTGCTCCAACTCCTTTAGACGCTCCTTCTCGGCGGAGTCAATGAGATCGTCGTCGTCACTCCAGCAAGGATCCTCATCGCCGACCTCAGGCATGGCCATCCGTTTCCAAAATCGTAGCTCCTGGCGCGCGGCAACATCCTCAACGCGCCGATCCCACCTAGTCTCGTCCTCATCGTACTTGCGGCGGAACGTGCGCAGCAGCTCGTTGGCCTTGCCGGCGCGCTCTTGCATCTCCCAGATCTGCTCCCGCAACCTGCTGTTTTCAGCGCGTGCTTCGGCGAGCTGGGAGCGGTAGGATCGGTGCCACGCGGCAACGTCGGTGACGTGCTTCGCCTTGTATTCGTGGAATTGCTTGAGCATCGCGGCGAGTACAGTGGCGTATTGTGCGAGGAGGGCGGCATTGGCGTCTCGGCTGTACTTGGCCTTTTCGAGTGATTCGGACAGGATAGATATCAGCGTATCGAGGTTCTGTTCTTGAGCTGCGAGCGTTCAAGTCAGCATCTTTGGGGAGCCCGTGGCCTGGGGAGAGCAAGCCCCTGGGTGTTCGTGCGTACCGTTGATGTCGTCGGCGGCATTGTGAATCAGATCATCGTTGTTTATGCCTTGAGTCCTTGCGCGGCTGCGTACCCTGCCGAGACCAGAGACAATATCCTCAGTCACGCGACGGTTCTCCGCGAGCTGCCGACTCAGCTCCTCGACCATGCCGTAGATGTAGTTCAGCTCGGCCTGCTGACCTGCCGGGGTGGGCACGCCGCCCATGCCGGCGGGCATGTTGCCGCCGTTCATTCCGTTCATGAGGACGAGCTGCTGGTATTGTGCGTGGGCGAGGGCTTGCTGGGCGGGTGTGAGGGGGCTCGGTGCGGCGTAAGATGGATTTGGCGGCGCCGGGTGGTACTGTGGTTGGGGCTGCTGTTGCTGTTGCTGGCGCGAGATAGCGATTTGGAGCTGCTGTTGCTGATGTTGCTGTTGCTGCTGGGTTTGGTACTGCTGCTGACTGAAATGTTGGGCAGCTGGACTAGACGCGTTGGAGATCGGGTTGAGGGGGAGATCGCCAGTGGTTGATGGAGGAGCGGGAAAGTTCATGGCCTTCAGTCTGGTGGTCGCAACTGGCAGGCAGCTGTGAGGTGTTCCGGACGTGAGCCGGGGACAAGAAGCGATGGACTGGCCTTTGGAGGTGGAGCTTGTCTGAGGTGGGTGAAGCGCTCGTTCGTGGAAGGTACCTTAATTACTCTACTGCGTAGAGATCCGTGCCGTTTTGGGTTTGGAGGTGTGGAGGGCGAAGGGGGTGTGTTGCTGCAGGACACGCTTTTTGGATGTGATATCGCTGTATCCGTGCGGGCGCTTAGGGAGGAGCGGCTAAACCAATGTGCAGCCGCATCTGTGCATAAATCCTGCTTTCGAGCTTGCATAAATTGGTTGATGCAACAACGACTGCACCTGTCGGCCAACAATAATACGGCATCTGGAAACAGTGGTGGACAAAGATAAAACCGGGAAGGAATCGATAACACAAACGAGATGATACTATAACAAGAGTTCGGCTTCTCCAATTCCCAGTCCTCATAGTCTTCCCTCCTTCACTCCATCTCTCCAATCTAACCGTAGCCAAGCTTCTGCCCGCCTTATTCACTTCTTCTGCAGGTGTCTGTTGAGGATTGACGCCTTGGGCGTTTCCTCGCCCATTTCGACATCTTCGTCCTCATCCTCGTCGTGGTTCTCTCCCAGGGCAGTCGCGACGGCATGCTGCGAAAGAATCTCCCGCTCACGAGCAACATCTCTTCCGTAGAGGGAGTTAGTTCTGTCAAACTCTCCTCGGCCTCTCTTGGTAGGCGTTTGAGGAAGCTCGGCGCCGTGTGCAAAGACGAAAGTGTCCATAGGGCGAACCCCAGCCTGCTCGGGTGGGCGCTGGGCGACTCTGAGGTTTCCCATTTGGCGACGGAGAGGGCGGAGGGAAGGCGAATCATCCTCCATTTCCATGGGATCATGAACGAACAGCTGATTTCCGGGGGCTGACATGGCAGGAGGAGCGGTCTTGACTGATTGGGGTCGGTCGGGAACACGCATCTCAAAACCACCTTCGATGGACTTTCCTGCCTTGCGCGGAGTGACGACCGGGGTGTCGGTTTGGCGCCATTCGGGGTTTGAGGGCATCTTGTTCTTCATGCCGAGAGCAAGATAGTGCTTCGGGCTCGGCTCGAAGTCGAGAATAAGACCAGCGCCTGGACTTCCTTCGTCGCCTTCCAAACCAGATCGAGTCATCTCAGGGTTGTGGAGTCGAAGGGCTTTCGAAGTCCGAGGGGTTTCGCTGCCCGGCTGAGTACGCGTAGCCTTGGGAGTCGACTGGTCACCAAAAGCACCACGCGTGGTAGGAGTGCCGAAGACGTCGGCGTCTTCATGAACGAATCTCTTAGGGACCCAGGTGTTGTTGTGGCTGCCTCGATGGAAAACTTCAGGGTTATTGTTGTTGGTGTTGCCGGCGCGGCCCTTGCGGGAGACAGGCTTGAGGATGCGGCGGCCAGTGACGGGGCAATTAGTGCTGCTCTGCGAATTGAAGTCTGCGGCAGAGTCGCTGTCCGAGAATGGCGACGAGACATACTGCTGACGAGTCTCTGCAGCAATTATATCCTCTACGTTGTCATCTTCCGCCGTCTTCGCCATCTGAGCGCCGGCGGGCCACAGATTCCGACGGACTCCATCGCCACCATCGGTGCCTTCGGTGCTCATCTTGGCAGAAATTTTTGCGAGCATCTGGGAAGCTCAACTGGGATTTAATTAGCATAGAGGGACCTCTCATCTTGAAGGTAGCTTACCTCTGGGGAAAAGGGGTTCCAAGGAGACGAAGGGCTTTGACACAAGTACAAGGCTCAACTTCAGGGGTTTCAAAAGCTGGCTGTGTGCTGGTGGCTTTTCTTGGCCAGATTGTGAACAAGAGGCAGAGAGATTGGTGAGATGAAGCACGCAGAGATTGTTCTTCAGCTATGTTTCGGAGGAGCTCCTGCTGTCCAAGATATTCTGATGCCATCTTGAGGTTGCGGGCGCTTCCCGGTCCAAGCTCACTGGCACCAAGACTTGATTATGTCGTCGGGTGAGTGCCTTCACGATCCATGGACATCGAGAAGGGTGGTGCTTGGTTCAGCACGGAACATTCTCTACTAAAGGCAGTGACTGGATTCTCAGTGAGACCCCATAGCGTCAAGTGAGTCTGGGGATCTAAGAAGCCCTCAACTCCAGCTAGATAGCTTCAAAAGGTGGTTACCTTGTGACGAGAATCATCAAGTGTTGCTGTCCAAGTCCTCATTTAAGGCTGCGAGTAACCTACCAAATCTACAATGAGGAGTGACCATAGGTTCAGAGAGCAACTACTACCACAGCGCTTTCATTGATGACTAGCATGTTGGAGTCAAAGTACTCTTTGACTTGGGAGGCACTTTCATTGGGCTTCTCGAATCATGGAATAGAATGGAATAGAGACAAGATGCTTCCAAAGGTTTCAGTAAACTATTTTTAACAATGGTATTCGTCTCGAAGGACTCAAAGCGAGCGTGAATCGAAGGTCATGAACTGCTATCTTGTCTCAGCAACTACCCAGCCGAGCACCCTCGGTGATGTCAATATGAATGTCTCTAGTAATTAACCAGGCTGGTCAGTCATTGACAGGCGCCAGATCCGTCTGCAGCTGGGTTTTCCATCCACTCTAACCCTTCTGAGCATCAACCAAATGTGGATGCAGATGATCCTCCCGACAATTTGGCCGGCGCGAACCCTCACTCGGCCGGTCACCGCATGGATGGTTGTCCGGGGTGTAGCTAGGACATGACCACAGTCACTAACACGTCTACGATCCAGAACTTTTGGAGGCCAAAATATAAGCTTGCGGAGTCTCCGCCCTCTGAGCCGGGGCGATTTGAGGGTCACCGGCTCTGTTGCGGATGCGGGGTGATGCGGGGCAGTCGAGCTGTTGTCGTCGTCTCAGTGGTGTCCCCCGCCATCCGGTCAAGCCACCAGTCGGGCCGTTGGCTGCACCCGAACCGGGCCCAGGATCCAGGCCCCCCGGGAAAGAAATAAACGAAACGAAACACTGCTTTTTCTCCGCTTGACATCACCAATGGCAGCTCATCTTGCCCCCTCCACCTCCCCCCTGCTGCATGGAACCACACTCAGTCTTCCCCGCCCCCAGCTATCCATCCCATCGGCCATTGCCATCTCCAACTTCTCCCGGTTTACGCATGCTACTTACGCGATGCACACTGCAGCTCATCGTCACGCTTGCTGATTTCTCCTAGGCTCGGAATTCGAGTGCGGGGAAAGATGCGAAAGCTGGCGGCCGGTCTTAAAATCTGACGGCACACGGCCCTACCTCGCTCCATTACTCGCTCACACCACTTGTCAATTAGACATTTTCACCAATTAACCTTAGTCCCCTGAATGCTAGCCCAACCTCCAGGGAGTCCTGGCCACCACAGATGAAGGTCCGGATGACGTTTTATGCGCCTGCCCCATGCTGCCGCAAGCTAATTGCGGCTTTCATTAGCGGGCATGTCCGTACGATGGTAAAGTGGTGAGGTAGCTTTGCGTCTACCCTGCAGTACGAGCTCTCGGGATGAACGGTTGGAAAGAGCTTTCTACCTCCCCAGCGGGGTTCACTTACCTTCCCTGCCGATGTAACTTCACCTAGAGCGATCTGCAAGCAACCACGAGTATAAAAGTTACCTTCCAGCCGGGTTCGCGTGTCCTCTCACTTCTCGAGCCAAGCTCGCCAGCACCTTCGGAGCCCGAGATTCACCATGGCGAGACACCTCTCCATCTTTGCGCTGCTGACGACGGCAGTCTCAGCGGCTGTGATCCGACGAGACTACCCGAGCGACGATGCACTTACGAAATGTCCCGGCTACCAGGCTTCGAATGTCCAGACATCTTCCAACGGCCTGACCGCCCAGCTTTCCCTCGCTGGAGAGCCGTGCGACGCCTACGGAACCGACCTGAAGGATCTGACACTGACTGTCGAATACCAGACTAGTAAGATAAAAGACAGCTCGTAACAGCCCCAGCCTTTGTCCGAGAGTGCCTAACAGACTTTCCAGATACCCGCCTGCACGTCAAGATTCAGGATGCCAACAACACGGTGTATCAGGTGCCCGAGTCGGTGTTTCCCCGTCCCAGTGGCCCTGGGGTTGATGCGGCGCAGTCCCAGCTGCACTTCAACTACACGGAGAACCCCTTCGCCTTTTCGGTCAGCAGAACCGACACTGGCGAGGTCCTGTTCGACACTTCTGGCGCCAACATCGTTTTCGAGAGTCAATACCTTCGTCTGAGAACAAAGCTGCCCGACAATCCCAACCTATATGGCCTGGGCGAGCACTCAGACCCTTTCCGGTTGAACACGACAGATTATATCCGCACTCTCTGGTCTCAAGACTCCTACGGCATTCCATCAGGCGCAAACCTGTACGGAAACCATCCCGTCTACTATGAGCATCGCAAGACTGGCACACACGGAGTCTTCTTCCTCAACTCCGATGGCATGGATGTCTTCATCAACAAGACGGAAGAGTCCGGACAATACCTTCAGTACAACACTCTCGGTGGAGTCCTCGACTTCTACTTCGTTGCCGGACCCTCTCCTGTCGAAGTGACACAGCAATACGCCCAAGTTGCTGGGCTCCCTGCTATGATGCCATACTGGGGTTTCGGATTCCACCAATGTCGTTATGGCTACCGGGATGTTTTTGATGTCGCCGAGGTTGTTCACAACTACAGTGTCGCCGAGATCCCCTTGGAGACAATGTGGACTGACATTGATTACATGGATCGACGCAGGTAAGTCACGCTTGAAAAGAGATTACCTCGGTGTTGCTGACTTTCGAACCAGGGTCTTCTCTCTGGACCCCGACCGTTACCCTCTCGAAAAGATGCGACAGCTTGTCGACAAGCTGCACGAGAATGATCAACACTATATTGTTATGGTAGATCCTGCCGTGGCCTACCAACAATATGAGCCGATGCTCCGAGGTATCGAGGACAACATCTGGCTGTTGCGCAGCAATGGTTCAGTCTGGATCGGCGTCGTCTGGCCCGGTGTATCTGTTTTCCCCGATTGGTTCTCCGAGAACATTACCAAGTACTGGAACAACGAGTTCGCCACATTCTTCTCAGTCGAGAGCGGCGTCGATATCGATGCTCTCTGGATCGACATGAATGAGCCGTCCAACTTCCCATGCTACTTCCCCTGCGACGACCCGTACGCATCTGCCGTTGGCTTCCCACCAGACCCGCCACCCGTCAGAGAAAACCCCCGTCCCTTGCCTGGCTGGCCGTGCGACTTCCAGCCCCCGGGAACCACCAACTGCTCGAGTCAATCCAAGCGCTCAGATTTGGCCCAGAATGTATCACCAAGAACCTCGCCCTTCAGCGAGAAGTTCGAAAACCTCATTCTTGCCGAGCGACAAGAATCAGGTGACCAGAAAGGTCTGCCAGGAAGAAATCTCTTGTTCCCCAAGTATGCCATTCACAACAAGGCGGCATGGGATACAGAGTCAAACGCGGCTGCCGGCGGCATTTCGAACAAGACGGTCAATACAGACGTGATTCACCAGAACGGTCTGACAATGTATGACACTCACAACCTTTATGGGTCTATGATGTCGTCAGCCTCTCGCGTCGCCATGGAGGCTCGTCGCCCCGGCCTCCGTCCCCTCATTATCACTCGTTCTACCTTTGCCGGTGCCGGTGCTCATGTTGGGCATTGGCTAGGCGACAACCTGTCCAATTGGTCTCTTTACCGCATCTCCATCTCCCAGCTCCTTCAGTTCGCCTCTGTTTACCAGGTACCCATGGTAGGCTCCGATGCTTGCGGATTCGGTGACAACACCAACGAGCAGCTATGCGCTCGTTGGGCTGCTCTGGCCGCTTTCTCAACCTTCTACCGCAACCACAATTCTCTTGACAGCATCTCTCAAGAATTCTACCTCTGGGACAGTGTCGCTGAGAGCGCCAGGAGAGCAATCTCTATCCGTTACCGCCTGCTCGACTACATCTACACGGCCGTTTACCAGCAGACAATCGATGGCACCCCGGTCATCAATCCTGTCTTTTATCTGTACCCTCAGGATGAGAAGTCGTTTGGACTGGATCTTCAGTACTTCTACGGCGATTCGATCCTGGTAGCACCCGTCACGGAGGAAAATTCCACGTCTGTTGATGTCTACTTCCCCGACGACGCATTCTACGACTGGTACACTCATGAGACCATCCAGGGCAAGGGCGAAGTCGTCTCTTTGACTGAGCAGAACTACACCACAATCCCGCTCTTCATCCGCGGCGGCTCCGTGCTGCCCCTGCGCGCCAATAGTGCCATGACGACCACTAAGCTCAGGGAAGAGAATTTCGAGCTTCTCATTGCCGTAAACAGGAATGGAACTGCCAAGGGCCAGCTGTATCTCGACGATGGCGTCAGCTTGGAGCAGTCTGGTATCACCCACGTCACATTCGATTACAAGGACGGCAAAGTTGCGGTTGATGGCGAGTTCGGCTACAGCACGCCGCTCAAGGTTTCCAAGATCACCTTCTTGGGTGGCGGACAGCAGAATGGAAAGAGGCGGGAGTCCATCATGACAATCGCAGTTGATAAGCCCTTGACCGGGCCGTTCGTGATTGAGATCAACTAGACCGATGTTCGGGTCTTAAATGGTGTACATCACCCTTTCCTAATGCATATACATAATTACGAAGAGGAGTTCTTTCGCCTTGTAACTTCCCACTGCTACCTGTGACAAAGACTAGTTGACTGGTACAAAGATTCGGTCAATGTCTGCAACCCAAGATGAGTCGGTGCTAGCGATGGTGATGGTGTTGCTCGATCCCGAGTTGAGATTGCAGAACAAGGAGCTGCTTCCAGGAGTGTTGCCATCAGCAGTCGGCAGAAACGCAATGGTCTGTGAGACGCCGTTGCAGGTCACCGTCGCCCATCGCTGACTAGAGTCGCCGTTGAGATGCTTGATCCTCACCGTGGTGCGACCGTTCGCCTGGGCGCTGACGCTCGAGAGCTGAACCGTACCGCCGGCCGACCCGCCAACGTATCCGGCCGCGGCGCTGCCGCTGCATCCCGTGCAGGAAATGCTCTTCGCGCCGCCCGATAGCGTGGCCGACTCGCCCTCATAGGAGGTCTCGGAAGGTCCGACTGCCCAGGTTCCCGCGGCGACGTTGGGCGTCCAGTTGACGCGGTCCGCGAGAGTGATGGTTGTGCCGGAGATGGTGAGCGGCAGCCAGATGTAGGTGCTGCGCATCAGGTTCGTGCTGACCCAGCGGTCGCCCATGTAGATGACCATGTCGCCGACGGACAAGATGTAGGACGTCTGGCTGGTGAAGGTGTTGGAGCCTACAGGGGCGAAAGTTGCCCACGAGGACCAGGGGCCCGAGAGGGACGTGGCGTAACTGTAGACCTGCAAAGAGTGAGACGAAGGACGATGTGTCAACGGAAAGGGGGAGAACAAACATTGTCGTTGGGGTTCCAGCCGGTGAGCTTGCTTCCGAACATGAAGTAGTAGCCATTACGCTTGAGAATGGCGGGGGACTCGATGTTGGTGGTCCAGAGGTAGACGTTGCTTGTGACATTGAGGTAGTCGGAGGTGAGGGCGTCGATGCGCAGACCATTGGGCCGCTGTACAGCTCGTCAGATTTTATTTAGAAAAGAACAAGCATAGGGAGCCAAAATCTTACATCCTCAGTCAACAGATACGCGGATCCGTTGTCGTCCTGGAACAAGCCAATGTCGCGGCTCTCGAACCCGAGAGGCCGCCAACTGCTGATGTACGTGTACTTGCCGCACACGGTGTCCGAGGTAGCCACGCCGACCTTGGCCTCGCCGTAGTTGCTGCTGTCAATGTGCAGGTACATGACGTACTTGCGCGTCGACGAGTTGTAGATGACCTTGGGCCGCTCGACGACGCGGTTGGGGCCCAGGTCGCCGCTGGCGGTGCGCGAGAGCAGGGCCCCGACGTAGGTCCATTCGACGAGATTGGTCGAGGAGTAGCAGTTTACGTTCTGGAACGCCGAGCCTTCGGTCTTGTCCTCGCCAATCATGTAGTAAGTCGAGCCGACCTTGGTGATGCCAGCGCCGTGGGCTTGAATGTGCCGGCCGGTGTTTGTCTAGTTTCCAACCACAGTCAGTTTATCATTGTGACCAAGGGTCCCGAATCAAGCTGGGCATCATTACCGCAGTCCAAGTGCCGCCGGGAATGATCTGGAGCGTGGCCTTTGCAAGACCAGCTCCCGCAAGGAGAGAGGTGAGGCTGTGGAGCAGACGCATGGTGTGGCCGTGTAAGTCGGTTTAGATCAATGCTCTCTCTCTCTCGCTGCAATGCTGTATCGATCGTGGACGAGGTAGCAGAATCGCAAACCCTAGCCAGAGAGGTTCCAATCGCCCAAACATCGCGCTACCTTGGGTTGTAGTTATAGTTTCCCATGCCTGGCAACACACAATTGATCAGTTCTGCGCCATCGTCAGCTGCGGCCCTCGGCTCCGGCATCCCCACCTCACAATCCAATTCGCAACGCTCCCAAAAACCTTTCGTTCGTGCGCTTTCAGCCTGTAGACTAGACGGACAACCGGCTCCCTCGGCCGGAGAATTAGTGGTTCCTTCAATTGGAAGCTTGCGTCCTGGTCTTCGCCCCGAACGGTGTGAGTGGCCCGCCAATATCCAGGTGGAGGTTGTGGGTGTAGTGCTCATGTGTTCACCATCAACAGCCTTTCTGGGATACCAAAGCCGCTCCGAGGTTGCAGCCATTGAAGCACTGTGTCATTAGCAAAAGGGTGGGCGAGTCGAGAGGCAGGCGCAGGCACACATGCGCTAACCACACTTCCCCGCAACCCGGTGCGACGCTGGCGTGTCGATGCTATGTTTGTCCAATGATTCTTCGGCCCTGGCGGGCGTCGGCTGATCTACCGGCGGAGCATCACCGGGGTGCAGTACCGAATCCGGACCGGGTCTCAAAAGCTTGGTTCACGCGCGACCCCACAGCGTGCACGATGATATTGCAGTGTTCCATGGCAACTTGTTTGATTCTTTCTTGACTTCCCTATTGTTTTTCTTTTAGTTATTTTCCTTATCCCTGTCCCTGAAGAGGGGTCTTTTTATTCCCTGCCATATTCCACTTGGTTTCCAAGTTGCTGCTCATGGCGAATCGAACCAGCTGTCTGGGGACCGACCAAGCGAGCCCCCAGCCAAGCAAGAAGCGAACAATTTTCGAGCAGAGTGTCGTTCATATCTCGTATCAGTCGTTCCCGGATAACTCCCGCCAATCGATGAAAATACGCCGTATAGTATAGGTCGACAAAAAGCCTTAGCGCCGCGCCAGCTTTCGTTCGCTCGTTCAGAAGAACCGCATCGTATGCTTCCCCGTTGTATGTTCTACGTGTCCACCTCCATTTTGTCATCGGCGTCTCCTGCGTCGGCTGCCTCCTCGACTTCCTGTTTCGGCTCTGGGAATGCTACCGAGATGGAATCCTTTGAGTCTCCCCCACTGACTGTGCCGCCGCCGCCGCCAACAGCTCCGTTGCCAGCGCAAAGACGATACTCGCCGTCTTCTTTACGCTCTATGATGCCCTCGTCAAGAGCCCACTTGGCCAATAACCGGTCAACCCCAAGCCGCTGGCCCTCGCCCTTCTCCATGTGTCTGCCAACATGCTCTGTCCACTCATCCCATGAACCAGGACCTTCGAAGACGCTTTGACAGTCAGGTTTGGGACATGCTGACTTTTGAGGCGGCGATCGACGTGTCACAAGACATGTTGTTTGCATCTCTTTGACATGGCCCTCCCACTCAACTTGAAGCTTACTGTCGCCTTTGGCGATCGCCTTTTTGATGGCAAAAGGTGCGTGCATGCGGCGGAGATGTTGGGTAAATAAATCCTTTCGGTTGAACTCGTTGCCCTTGCCCTCGATTGTGCTCTGCGGGCAGGATGAACAGCGGTAGTATTGGAGACACAGATGCTGGGAGGCAATATGTCGCTTCCACTCATTCTTCGATCCAAAAGTACTAGTGCAGCCTGCGAACGAGAAGGCGCAAGGGAATGGTCTGGTATGCGCTGCAGCGATGTGTTTGCGAAGTGATGAGGAGTCCTTGAAGGGTGCGTGGCTGCAAAGTGTGCACCTCGTCTCTTGCTTCGGTGTCGCTTTTTGGAGGGATCTCCTCTGCTTGGGCTTCGAGTTGGGAGTGTTCATGTCTATCGAATGCATCGTGTCGTCGGCGCCAGACTCGTGGGATGAACTGTCTTCATGATTTGCAGTCGTCACCCCATCAGGCAGGGTAGTCCGTTGTTGCCTCTCTACCGCAGGCGGTGCCTCGTCACTAAGATGGCGAACGTGGCTCAATGCCTTCAGTTGTTCTGCGGCCTCCTGCATCTCGGCCGAATCTTCGACATCATCTTTGCCATCAATGGCTGCAGCCGCCGCTGCAGTGGCGTATGAGATCCCTGACGGCGTGGTATCTAGACGACTGAGTGCCTCGTGATAGGCGGCGTCTTTACTGTCTAAAGAGCGTCGGTGCATGGCTGGTGTGCTTACTGCCATCTCCCTCGCTTCCAACAATATGCGGCCGTCCTCAACTTCTTTTGCAGTCGCTTTGATGCCTGATGATCCCTTCAATTTCTGATACAGGTGAATCATGTTATGCGATGTGATGTATCCTAAGAAACAGCAAACTTTGTCGTGCTGTACAACGTTCCAAATGGAGTGTGGCATTGATATCAGGAGCATCGTGGGCGGTCCAAGGAACATGCCCTCTACTTCGATCTTGGCAGCCAGAGAAGGAGTGTTGTGTAGCCAGCCGTTGAAAAAGGACATGTCTGGACTGGCGTCTCCTACGAAGGTGGTGCACACAAGCACTCTTGCCTCGTCGAACCGCAGATCGGTGACGGACGCAGGGTCGATCAGCTGATCCTCTTTTGACTTTGTATGGGATTCAGCGTCGCCGTTATGCGGCGATTGCTGTACAGCCCGTGGAGGCAAGGGGGCCAGGCTGAGGCTTTGGCCCTTCCCAGGGGTGAGAGTAAACAGAATGGGAAGTTGGGGTGGCGGGGATGGACTTTTGCTTGCGCCATTTGTGAGCTTAGCAGATTGAGCATGTTCTTGTTGCCGCAACAGCACAATCTCTTCATGCAATCGCGGCACGCTGAACGGCCTCCCAACTGTGCTGAGTTTGTGTAATGCTTCAATCAAGTGATATGTGAAGGATTTCCCCGTCGTTTCCCGGGCGGTCTGTTCGGAGCCGCACGCGGCAATGGCTTGCTTGAGTCCATGGCTGCCACTCATGGGTATGTCGCGAACTGTGCAGGTATCGAGCAGAAGCAAAATATCAGACTGCGCATCCTCGAACAGGCATCGAACGCCGTCCCATTTGAGCTTCGCGGCGTCTTCTCGGTTATTGCTAGGGAGAAGCGGTCAGAAGAAAGCGAAGAGATGATGGCGGCGGATGCCCGACTCACCAAGCCCAATAGAGCTGATTGTCCGCAACATAGCCGTAGCCAGCATAGTAGATGATCAACAAGTGGTTGTTGCGACCATGCTCGAGGAACGAGGCCATCTGCACGCCGAGCTTGATGCTGGGATTGGGCACCGTTGGGATGGTCCATCGATCGGTTCGATAGTTGTAGCGGTCTCTGAGGATGTTTTCCAGGGCTGTGAGATCAGCTTCGGCCGAAGTGTCTTCTTCCCATCGCAGGAGCAGGACCGAGACGCTATCATACGGGGGGCGCTCGGTCTGACGCTGGATCAGCATGGCAGCATCCTGAAGATGCCTCGCAAAGGACTCGAAATCATGGCGCTCGGCTGGAGGGGCCTCGGGGACCTGCTGTTGCTGAAGCTGTAAGAGATTATATTAGCGCCTTGGTCTAGAAAGTTCACGGGCAGCATGGGCGACAATGACGGGCAGGGCCAGGACATAGAGTCTCGTGAGGATGGATTGGGAGAATCGCGCGAGCTCACCGATTCGGGGAAAGGCGCAGGCTGGGCAGACTCTTTGGGCGCGGGCAAGAGTCGTCTTTTCTTGGCCGGTTGCTCCATCTACAGATCGAATCAATGGACGACAATTGGGTAGTCAGGGTGATGATTCGATGCGGTGCGTATAGATCATGAGAGGCGACAATGGTTGAGATTTTGGAAGGCAGGGCAGGGCAGGGTCGGCGATGAAGGAAGACCAGGTCCAGCCAGCCTAGGCTCGAGGCTTCGGCGAGGCTGTGTGCCTCAATCATGACCCACCCCATGTGCTTGTCTGATTGGCCACAGTACACCATGGATGCACCCGAATGTCGCCCGGCCGTTCTCCATTCAGTCCTTCCACGTCCTCACCACCAACCCCTCCACAAAGATTACCACCAAGGTACCTACCTACTAGTCTTCTTTTCCTTGCCCTGGAGACCTTACCGACCGGCCACCGCACCGCATCATCTTCCTCTCTCTCTCCCTCCACCCTCCCACCGACGCACATCATAGACTTGCTGGCTGTTTTCCTCACCTCTCACCTTTCTGGGATATCTTCCCCTCACCATTCAATTCCTTCGGGGCTAGGCTGGGCTGGCGTTGGCTAGCTACCCCTCCGCCTTGCCCCCCCTCTTGGGGTATCCGAAGCCCGATAAGTGGCCGTGTCCACTGCAGCCACGACCTGACTGCGGCCCTCGAATGGAGCCACATGTCTCTCGGTCATGCTGCAAGGCAGCTTAGCTTGCTAGCTTCATCGGACACGCCTTAGGAGTCGAGGCACGTTGCCCGTTGTCTGCCAGCCATGGTAGGTAAGAAGAAGAAGGAAGCAGTCGATCAGAGACAGGCGCACGGCATTAGCCTTGCTCGCTCACTGCCGTTGAATTCATCCAAGGTACGGTTCAATTGTACCGAGCCGTCCTGATCTGACCTGGCCTGGCCTGGCATGGCCTGACCGACACTTTTCCGTCTCCGTCTCTCTCTGTCTCTCTCGCAACAGCCCAGGTAGGTAGCTCACCGACATCCGACCTTTGGTTGTTGCAGTATTATGCCGTGCCATGCAGTACAGAGAGAGATACAGACGACACACCACGCCAGCCAGCCAGTCAATCTCACCGCAGACACGTCCAAGAAGGCAGACGGCGGACCACGGCACAAGACCCAATTCTGGTCTGACAATCAACCCGGGAGAAGTCGTCGCCGTCGCCGCCGAGGGAGAGATGCTCCTCATCCTCCTGCAAGGCCGATGACTTACACTTTCACAAGGCATGGCTGCAGGTGTCCAGCCCCACCCCTCCAACACTTCATCACTCCATTCCCTCGCTGCCGCCGGCCAATGGGCGTGCGTCCCTCCCCGTCTCGTCAGGTTCCAGTGCATCCGTGTTCCTGTTCTTCTTTGGCCCCGTTGCAGCCTTCCATCGGAGGGGCACCACGACGCGTTGCGCAAAGCTGGGCGGGACCTTCGCTTCGCAGATGGATGCACACCATCACTCGCGCTCTGTTGAGGTCCAGCCTAGCGCCCTACCACGTATGTATGTCTTTGTCAATCTTTGGGGGGGTGTAGGCCATTCGCACCACCAAATGTCTGTTCATGCCCTACCTGACATTACCTGTCCTACTTTGCGACAGGCTTGTTGTGGTTGTAATTAAGCTATCGCACACTTCGGCTGAGTTCCCCATCACCACTACGTAAAATAACAGAGCTCCAGTGCTTTGACCCAGACCCCTACAGAGCTTACTGAGCGCGCACTGCAGCCTTTCGTCTCTGCCCTCCAGCAGAGCAGTTTGGCTGCCACGGCTGGGGCACTGACGACCAAGACGATGAAGGGTCTTTCCTGGAAGCAGGGGACATAGCTCTGGGAGCTTGGGGATAAATAAGCTGCATCATCGCTGGATGGTGTGCCATGCACAGCCAGGTCTGGAATCATGCAACTCTTGCTTACTCGAGAACGTTCATCGTCTCAGGCAGTTCCATGGTCGACATGCAATTCCGTTGAAATGGCACTTTTGGATCCGACTTTATGCCCCTTTGCACTTGAACATTCATAGGTCGTGGCATTTTCCGCGCACTAGGTAAGCGGATGAGGCGCCATTGCTGCAGAGTCCCAATCACCAATCCAGCTGGAGCCATCAGGAGCATGCTGCGGCATTGAGACCACCAGCAGGCAAACTGCCGCCTTAGGTTGCTGTCGTGTTCCTCAGGGCGTTTTGCCAAATTCATCGCAGTACCAGGCAGAGGGGTTGGTCACGGAGACAATGTGAGAACCACTCTGGGCACAGCGGCTTCTGACTCCGAGTCGGGGAGTGGGTCTCCGGGTAGGGAGGCGCCCGGAGTCCGACCGTCCCGCCCGTCGCTCCCGGAGACTCGTCAGCGGTCGGGCTTCCACGGAAGCATGACCTCTCACTCGTTGGTCCGGTACCGAAAGCGATGGGACCAATACGAGAGTCCGCTAAGGCCAGAGACGCAGCTCGTGTGGATTCTATTACGCCTCCTCGGCCTGACTGCTCGGCTTTCGGCGATATGATGGAGCTGCAGGCGAAAAAGGGCCTCAACAATCGAGGATTTCAATATATCTGCCGTCCTAGTTAATTCGCAGAAACTTGCTTGACCGCCAAGTCGCTTGCTCGGCCAAGCTCATGGACCCAAAAATGCGAAAGAACCATCTTCTAGAAAACCGCTTGCCGAACGAGCCCAAGCGACAAGGAGATTCCATGGTGGCGGACACTGGTAGAGTAAAAACCTGTCTTGATGTGGCGGGGCCTCTGGGTCGGCCCCAAAGCCCCGTTGGGCACGATCGGGGGCCATTAACCATCTTCTAGTTCAGAGGCAGGTGACTTGAGCGGATTGAGACTGTATCGCCAAGAGAGACCATGAAAGACAATGCGAGCAATCAAGAGGAGCCAAGCGAACGTGCTCCTGTCACAAGAGCGCGTATGAGTGGCGATTTCGATAGCTGTAGCCATGCAGAGAGACGCGTGCGAATGACTGACTGGCTGTTGGGTGACCTGACACTCTTGACTCTGGGGTGAGTTCCTCGGAGGCGTCCATGCCAACAAGCCCAAGCCTTGCACAGCCACGCGGGCCACTGGTTTCGAACTTCTTGTTCGGTACGCAGCACGCTCCGTGACCAATCAAGGCGTCGGACTCGCGGCTCTTCTCAACGCAGAGGGTGGGAGCTAGCGCGGCCAGGCGGCACATGTTGAGCGGAAGAACAATTGTGTTGCTGACGTGCGGGCAGGGTCACGGGAAAGGGTCCCTTGCTTGCAGCTGTCAGGTTATGCGTTACCTTACCTTGGGAGAGAATGGCAGGATATCTGCTCAGCAGTGCAGCGCAGCGCAGCGCAAGCTCAGGAAACAGCTGCTTCTTTCGGGGGAGGCCGCAGAAGCGGTGGGTGTCAGCCAGCATCATCAGCTAGACATCGCAAAGACGCCAATTGAGGGAAATCTCTTGAAAATTGAATTGGCATAATGCTGATGCCAAGTAATGCGACGCCTTTGCTGTCCGTGAATTCGAGGCAGGCGGGGGAACTTGCTGAGCAGCTGAGGTCAGAAACAGGCCATGCCATCATGGTCATCACGGGCCTCGATGCCCTGGCCGAGGATCTGGTGGGGTATCCTTGCTGGTCCTGACGGTTCGCTTGTTCAGTATTCGGTACGGCTCTGATACTGTATTTCAGGCTACCTTATGTGAGTGTCCGGCGTTAAGTAGGAGACGCAGCTTGTTTCTCGGCCTCCGGAATCGACGAACGGGACGAGACTTGTTTGACTGACAATTGCGTGGCTGGTGAGTTAAACTCGGACTCGTTTATCAGACGTCAGTGTCGGGAACGAGATCCAGCGCCATCATCGGTGAAGGACTGAGGACCCCCGACACGCGGTGGGGCATTTGGCGATACCCCTGCTCCTAGAGATGGAAGAAGACGCAGCTTTGTCGAATGGCTGAATTGCGACCGGCGGCCTTGAGAGAGGAGTGGTTTCCAAAGAACAGGACGGTTCTAGTGCAGGTTCCCGGGATCCTACCTACAGCAAGAAACCACCTTATTTAGCCGTCCAGTCCAAGGGCCAGTCTCCCGCGCTGCAGGGAAACATGTTGAGGGGTTCGGCGCCATCTGGTCTCCAGTAGAGTAGTAGTAAGCGACCTTACTTTGAAGGAGCTTCGGGTAAGTCGCAGCCAGATTCCCGTGCGGTACCTTAGGCTGTTTGCTGCACTTGGATTTGCAGAACGTAAGCGGGTATCGTCTGTTCGTTCTGCCTTGCAGCGTGCCTTATGTCCGCTCGCGACATCTGAGCATTCTGAATGGATCGAAGACGACAGAGCGCGCGGGATGACCCAGTGTGTTGACCATAACATGCAGCATGATAACTCGTACAACCAACCACAAGTCTGTTTGTTTTTCGCGGGGCCTTGAACTGAGGCCTGGTCGATTGGATATAAGTGACAGGATAGCCGATGTGATGCAGTGTGCGTCGAATAAGGAAGCCTCTGGAGAGAGGCATCGTGGTCTTGGCAGCGTACGGCAGATAGAGTGCGTGAGAAGCTGAGCTGACCTCGCTTCATTCCATTACCTACCTACCTCAGGTAAGGTACTCAGCCGAGGGCCGTCGAACAAGGTAGACCGCTGAAGCCCGTGAGAGAAGAGCGGCCCGGCAGGTGCTGCGCGGCGGGCTGTCGGCAAGGATGGAAAGGACGTGCAATTTTTGAGTTCTTCCATCTGGCTCAAGTTGAGCCGTGTCAAAGGCGAGGCCGCGAGGTCGAGGTATTCCATTGTAGAAAGCCGGTATCCGTAGTAAGGTCCATTAAAGCAAGTAGGCAAGTAGCCAGTGTCTTGGCGGTGGTTGCTGACGTTTGGCTGAGCCCAAGGCCGCATCCCTCCGTGGGGAAGGGAAAAAAGGAAGTTCGCTTCCTCCGAGAAGGCGCATCCACTACGCAATCAAGTCAACACCGGGGACACATCCAACCAAGCCTCCCCCATCCCACTGCCTGCCCGACCCGATGCTGCCGGCCTCCGTTGCTTGTCATAAACCTCCGTCGGCGCCCTCTTTCATACCTTGCGAATACTCTGCCGTCTGCTTGCTCCTGAAGCGA